TTTTAGGATGGAAGAGCCGCTACTGTCTCCCACAATCATGACAGAAGAGCTGCACCCATTCCATCACTCCAGCGGTTTAGGACACCGGGGAATGGAAATCATGAGGTTTCAGCAAAAAAGGCATCTAACTGGAAACTAGAATAGTAAAGCTACCCCTTCAAAATGTCCAGCCTAGAACTCTACATCTGGAGAACTGTATGTATGAGGCTTGAAGAAAGTCACTCTATGTTCATAAATATAACTCTTACACATAAAGCAAATAGTTTCTCATTAAACTCTAGCTAGTTGCTCTTGCAGAGGACCTGGGTTCAGTTCCTGGTACCTACATGGTAGCTAAGAACTGTCTTGTAATTCCAATTCTAGAGAACCCAATGCCTTCCTCTGGCCTCTGGTTCACAAATCTATAAATAGGCAAAGCTCTCATGCCTGTAAAATAAAAACCAAGGAAAATTATTAAGTGGAAAATCTTTTTTGTTGGTTTGAGACAGGGTCAGTCTGTTGGCCAACCTTCACTTTGTGGCCCAGGCTGGCCTTGAATTTGTTGCCTCCAGCCTACTCTCCTAAATTCTATCATTACGGATATGAGCCACCACACCTGCTTCCTATGTCCATGTATCTGTGTGTATGCGATATATGCATATGTACGAAAGTGTGTGCACTTGTGTGTGTGCATATGTGCGGGTATGTATCTCTGTGCCTATGTGTTTTAGTGTGCATGTGAATGTGTGTGCATCTGCATGCATATGTGTGTGGGTGTGTGTGTGTGTGAAAGGCAGAGGACTTCAGGTATCTTTTATTGCTCTCTGCCTTAATTTTTAAAATTAAATGTTTATATGTATGAGTGATGAACCTGCATGTATGTCTGTGCATCTTTTGTGTGCCTGCAGAGACCAGGAGAGAGTTGGATCTGCTGGGCTGGAATTAGATAGAGATGGTTATGAGCTGCCATATGGGTGTTGGGAATCCAACCAGGTCCTCAGCAAGAGCATCTCTGAGGTATCCCTCCAGCTCCCTCCACTTTAATATTTTGAGACATAGTCTCTCAGTGAACCTGGACCTCACCACTCTAGTTAAGGCTGGCCCTTCGGATCTGCCTGTCTCTATGTCCCCCAGTGTAGGGTTTACAGTTGTGCTCACTGTGATATGTGGATGCTGAGGATTCAAACTCAGTTCCTCATGTGATATGTCCATGTTTTCACAGCAAACACTTTATCATGGTCAGCCATCTGGAATGTATAAAATTGGAGCTGGACGAAGTAAGCAGTGGGCAGGAGTAATATATTTGAAGTCCAGTCTTTACTCTAGCCTTAAATTCTATCTATGTCACCAATTTGGCCAAAGCACTGGACACTCAGGCTACAACACCAGAGTGGGTAAATAGGAGCATCTCATAGACGACTGTCCCAGTCAGGGTCACTATTGCTGATGAATCACTATGACCAAAGCAATTTGGGGAGGAAAGCATTTATTTGGCTTATACTTTCAATCATAGTACATCACTGAGGGAAGTTGGCTTAGGAACCTGAGGCAGGAGCTGATGCAGAGGCCACAGAGGAGTGCTGCTTACTGGCTTGCTTGCTCCCTTTGGCTTGGGCAGTCTGTTTTGTTTTGCTTTTTGGTGAGCCTCGAACTCACAAAGATCCGCCTGCCTCTGCCTCCCGAGTGCTGCTATTAAAGGCGTCAACACCCAGCATCTGCATGCTTTCTTTCCTTTTTTTTACATCTTGTTTATTTATTTATTTATTTATTTATTTATTTAGTTATTTATTTATTTATTACATATAATCTTCTGGCTACATGCCAGCAGAGGGCACCAGATCTCATTCAAGGTGGCTGTGAGCCACCATGTGGTTACTGGGAATTGAACTCAAGACCTCTGGAAGAACAGTCACTGCTCTTAACCGGTAAGCCACCTCTTCAGCCCCTCCTTTTTTTTTTTTAAGATTTATTTATTTATTATGTATACAATGTTCTGCCTACATGTATCGATGCAAGCCAGAAGAGGGCACCAGATCTCATTACAGATGATTGTGAGCCACCATGTGGTTGCTGGGAATTAAACTCAGGACCTCTGGAAGAGCAGCCACTGCTCTTAAACTCTGAGCCATCTCTCCAGCCCATCAGCATGCTTTCTTATGGAACCCAGGACCATCAGCCCAGGATGACACCACTCACAATGGGCTGGGCCCTTTCCCATCAGCACTAATTAAGAAACAGCCCTACAGCTAAATTATTTATTTATTGGTTTTTTGAGACAGGCTTTCTCTGTAGCTTTGGAGACTGTCCTGGAACTCACTCTGTAGACCAGGCTGGCCTTGAACTCACAGAGATCTGTCTGCCTCTATGTCCCGAGTGATGGGATTAAAGGTGTGCACCACCAATGCCCAGCCCTACAACTAGATGCTATGGAGGCATTTTCTCAATTGAAGTTTTCTTCCAGACAACTCTACCTTGTGTTAAGTTGGCATATTTCATTGTTCTATGGCCCTAGCTTCCTCTTTCCACCATGTTTTCTATTGTAACTGAGGACCAGCTTCTAATACTGCTATTGCCAAATCTTTCCAGTCTTGAGGGATGATTCTGTTCTGAGTTGCCTATGAATTTAATATCTGCTTCCCATAAGGTGATACATATCATAAGAAATGACCACTTTCTTAAGTCTCCTCAAAGCTAATATTTCTATAGGATTCCACTTAACTTCTTTATAACATTGATGTGTCTATCATCTGCTGGTCATTCTTGTATAGTAACTAGATAAACTAAAGTTGGTTTTCTAACAACCTGGAGCCTCCCTCTTCAGTTTCATCCTGTGGTAGGTTCTTGTCTAAATTCCTCTATGTCTGAGTAATTTTCTTATTTTCATTTACAAGTCTTTCTGAGGCTTGTATCTTGTCAATCCACTTTCATATTTGGCACAATTATCAAACCACTTTTCATATTTGCCACAAAGCCACTCTGGCTATTAAGGATAAATTATGAATTACCAGACTGATAGTAATTATAATTGTTATTATGTCAATCTCAGTGAAGTAATTTATCTTTTAATTTTCTGCTTCTATTTTAAACCCATCTAATGTAGCATTATACAGGGTCCTAACGCCCTGTGTTGTGATTTTTTTCCCCATCCATAACGTGGGAAAGATTTTTCCTTTTAATATTACTTGCTTGAGGACTTCCTAGGTTTCTTACCAAATCTGATGGCTTCTCAGTTTGTCCACAGCTGATGTGATTTCTCTGTATTATTGTGCCATGAGTTGGAGTGCCAAATGTTTTTTGTTTGTGAACTGGAGTGCCAAATTTGTTTGTTTGTTTGAGACAGGGTTTTTCTGTGTAGCCCTGGCTGTCCTGGAACTAGCTCTGAAGACCAGACTGACCTCAGACTCATATAGAGATCCACCTGCCTGTCTGTTCACTTCCTGTAAATTGGTTGCCTACTCTGCCTCTTGAACTATGGTTGACTTTATTTAACCCTGTTTATAATATTCAAGCAGAAAGCTTTTGGATTAAAGGTGTGTTGCTAGGGCTGAGCCACACCACAACTAGAAACAGGTTTTTCCAGTAAATAACACAATGTGATAAAAAACCCTGCAACATCTCTAGGAGGCATGGCAGGCATTATAAATATAATGCAAATCAAACATACACTCAAATTCTTCATCAGTTCCCTATAAAATTAAAATGTTTCTCAAGGTTGGTAGCATCTTCAGTGGCCTTGACCTTGTTTTAAGGCCTGCATCCTAGTACTTTACCTTTCTTCATGCCCAAGGCCTTGGACTTTACTTAATATGAATGGAAGTTTCTATTCCTTCTTCAGTGTTAATTCCCTTCTTGTTTATCTGATTAACTCCAATCAACCTTTTACACTTGGTTCAGGAAATGTCTCTGGAATCTCCCTCCCTCCTTTATTTTCCAAAACCTATAGTATCAGGTATTTATTCCTTTGAGTTTGAGAGTCCATATTTAATTTAATCATATACTATGCATATTACAAATTTTGTATAATTTATCTTCCTCATCAGATAGTCAGCTACTCTATAGTTTACTATAATGGCTATTCTTGGTTGTCAACTTGACTATGTCTGGAATGAACTACAATCCAGAAATGGAGGGTACACTTGTGATCTGGATCTTTTTATTTTTTTATTTTTTGGTTTTTTTTTCGAGACAGGGTTTCTCTGTGTTGTTTTGGAGCCTTTCCTGGAACTCGCTCGGTAGACCAGGCTTGGTCTTGAACTCACAGAGATCCACCTGCCTTTGCCTCCCGAGTGCTGGGATTAAAGGCTTGTGCCACCACCGCCCGGTGTGATCTGGATCTTGAGGCTGGAAGACACAGGCTTTTGATCCAGATGACACATTCCTTTATCCAGATCCTGAGGTAGTAAGGCACACCTTTGACCTGGGCTATACCTTCTGCTGGAGGCCTATATAAGGACATTGGACGAAGGAAGGGTTCATGCATTCTTACCCTGCTTGCCCTCTCCTTCCCAGCAAATCCATTTCTTCACTAGCATTGGAGCCTACTTCAGGATTCCAGCTACAGGGAAGACCAACTGAGACATCCAGCCTTGTGGGCCTGAGCACTCCTTGGACTTCCATTCATAGCTAACCAGTGTTGGGTTAGTTGGGCTGCAGCCTGTTAGTCATGGTAATAAATTCCCTTTATATATGTAGACATAGAGCAACTCATTCTGTAAGTTCTGTTATAGGGGCCTTCTTCCATCCATCTTTGTATCCTTAGTCACCAAGGTAAAGCACAGACCCATGATTAGTGGGTGGTGAATGCTGGCTAAATCAATTATATTATTTGGTTGAACCAATTACGTATCCTAATGAGAATATGAAATACCTGAAAGTGAAGCTGGATGGCCTCTGTCCCTGCTGTGTAAATTTCACTATGGTAGTAACTGGTAATGACTGATACATGTCTAACCCTTCCAGAAAGGGAAATGTCTGGCAAGTGTCGGAAAGGCCCTGTATCCCACTGTGCCAAATCTCCTTACCTGTTCCTTCAGTTGTGGTTTTCTTTTTATGTCGAAAGTAATGCTGATATCCTAGCAGATGCAAGTTGAAGAAAGCCATCCCAACGCCTCTTTTCAGAATGTCTACTCTGGAGTGCTGAGTTCTAGTAACCATGGTAATGTCTTGAAGAATTGCCATGACTGACGTTTGCTTTGTCCTATGAGGCACAGGATTTATAGGTCACCATGGAGTTGGGATTGAGTGGGCTAAATAATTCAAGGAAACTTGAGGAGTCAAATATGATTACCGACTGGGTGTTGGTGGCGCACGCCTTTAATCCCAGCACTCGGGAGGAAGAGGCAGGAGGATCTCTGTGAGTTCGAGGCCAGTCTGCTGTACAGATCATGTTCCAGGACAGTCAGAGCTACACAGAGAAACCCTATCCTGAAGAACACCAAACCAAACCAAACCCCAAAACCAAACAACCAATATTTTTTTATTCTTTGAAAATTTCATAATCTGTGTAACGTACATTGATCATGTACATCCTCCACTACTTCCTTTCAACTATCCCAAATGCCCTCCATCTTGTCTCCTTCCTAACTTCTCTAGTAGCTCTGGCTGTCCTAGAACTCACTGTGTAGACCAGGCTGGCCTTGAACTCAGAGATCTGCCAGTTCTGCCTCCTAAGAGATGGGCTTAAAGGCGAGTGCCACTATGCCCCACCTACTTCTCAAGTTATTTTAAATTCCTAATCTTAAAATCCCCAAATTCCAACATGAGTACCTGGTTCTGATGCTTCCAGATTTTGTATTTCTTGTTTTTTAAGCTTGAACAGAACATATTACATAAGGCTCAGGGTCAGAGATGGTTACTGTTTGTTGTAGATGCAGTGTCTCTCCTGAGGTCCTTGCTTTCGGTCTCCCCTGCTATCCTTGATTTTCCTTGCTTTCTTTAGGTTTATTGCACTGCAAAAGAGCCATGTGTCTGAGAACAGCAAGACTGCCTTGATGCTCCAACAGGGTCTGAGCCTTGCAATTCTTTCAGTTGCCATCCTGTTGTTATACTGGAATTTTATGTATGTAAGACTGGAGGACTTGGGAGTATTTTGTAATTTTATTATTAGGTTGTTGCCCAGTCTTGTATGTTTATGTAGTATTATGTGTGTGCACGAGTGTGAACATACATGTGAAGGCTAGAGGTTGACGTTAGGTCTCTTTTTCTATTGTTTTCCATTTTATTTATTTATTTATTTATTTATTTATTTATTTATATGTATTTATTTATTTTTGAGGCAGAGTTTCTCTGTGTAGCCTTGGCTGTCCTGGAACTCATTCTGCAGACCAGGCTGGCCTCTAACTCACAGAGACCCACTTGCCTGTGTCTCCCAAGTACTGGGACTAAAGGTGTGTGCCACCACTGCCGGGCTATTTATTTTGTAAAACAGGGTGTCTCTACATAAGCTTGCCTGACCTGGAACTCACTAATGTAGACTAGATGGACCTTGAACTCTGAGAGATGGGCCTCCTTCTTGAATACTGGTATTAAAAAGGCATGCCCTATCCTGCCTACCCCACCCCCTTTGAGGCAGGGCCTCTTACTGCCTAGACTATCTGGCTAACAAACCCAGGATTCCTCTTTCTCTGTCTCCCCAGTTCTGGGGCTACTGGTGAGGCACCAGTTTTTTTCCGTGTGTCCTGGAGATCTGAACTTGGGTTCTCATCCTTACGCACAAGGATAACACTGGCTCCCTAGCAGGACTTCAGTCTGCTGAGCTCGGTTTCCCACTGGGCAGTGATCTTACAAATATTTCTGCTACCTTACATAGTAGAGCAAGGGTAGAAAAGGCTGAAGCTGGCTAATGCCTTTCTCTCATGGTTATACTTTGGTAAAACTCAAGTTTTGTTTAAAAAGTTTCATCTGAGGGTCAGTGAGATGGCTCCATGGGTAAAGGTGACCGTGTTCAAGCTCTGGATCCCACAGAATGAAAATCTTAACGTTGCCCTCTTCCCTCTCTCTTTATGGGGTGGCATGTGCAACCCTGCATGCACAGGCGTATGTACATGTACACACTAATTGGGGGGAGGGGTTGCTTTGTTTTTCAAGACAGGGTTTCTCTTGAAACAGTCCTGGCTGTCCTGAAACTCACTCTGTAGATCTCAAACTCAGAGATCCACTTCCCTCGGCCTCCTGAGAGCTAGAAGTAAAGGTGTGCTCCACCACCACCCTGCCTACGCATTAATTAAAAAAAAATTTCCTTAACCAATCTTTTTCTCCCTATCATTTACTTACTTATTTATAGACAGGATCACTATGTAGTCCTGGCTCTTGATATGTATCCGAGGGTAGCATTGAATTCACAGAAATCCTCCTGCTTCTGCTTCCCCAGTGGTGGGATTAGAGGTGTGTGCCACCATGCCCAGCTTTATTTTTGAGACAGGTTCTCACTATGTAGACCAGGCTGGCCTTGAACTCATATAGACACAGCTGCTTTTACCTCGGAGTGCCGGGATCAGAGGTGTGCACCACTAACAGGCCTAGAGTAGATCCTTAGGGACAAGAATGCTGGATGTATTTCACAATGCTTTTTTTCTTCCTGCTTGTTAGAAACAAGAACGACTTTTTTTTTTTTTTTTTTGGTGTGGTTTGGTTTTTCTAAACAGGGTTTCTCTTTCTCTCGGAGCCTGTCATGGAACTTGATTTGCAGAACAGGCTGGCCTGGAACTCAAGAGATCCGCCTGCCTCTGCCTCCTGAGTGCTGGGATCAAAGGTGTGGTGGGACTTTTCTAACAATGAGAACTTGGTGAGGCTCCTATAGACATAACACAAAAGTGAGGAATCCATTGAGGATGACCTCCAAGAACTTTTTTTTTTTGAGACAGGCTCTATTAAGTAGCTCTGTCTGGAACTCACTCTGTAGACCAGGCTAGCCTCAAACTCAAATCAGCTTCCCTCAGGGATTAAAGGTGTGTGCCTGGAATTTACTTTGTAGATCTGGATGGCTTTGAACTTTGATCTTCCTGCCTCTGCCTCCTGAGTGTGTGGGTTAAAGGGACACACTGCTATCAATTGCCCTAAATCACTAATATCTTACAGACACAATGAGCTTGATAGGCATGGAAGAACAGGTGGGAAGTTGAGCCCAGAGTTCACAAGGTCAGTGCCTGCCTGGGTTATAAAGCAAACTCAAGACTAACTTAGTCAATTTAAAACAACAAATCAAAACAGGGCTGGATACAGCTAGGAGGTAGCGTACTTGCCCAGCATGAGCTCAGGGGTCTAACTTCAATCTTCACTGGAGTTGAAGGGCGAAGTGCACAGAAGGCAGACTGAGAGGAATTAATTATTTTGCTTAGGCTGAAAAGCTGTTAGACCTGGAGCTGGGCTCCAATTCAATAGCGGCCTGAACTTAGGAATTTTCCATGTGGTGGTGGTGGAAGTTTCCACACTGTAGAGGAAGTTTTAGTTTACCCATTAGCAGATCCTAGGATTCTTTGCTACTTCAAAACTATTTATTGCTCCAGTGCGTTTGGCACAGTCAGTCCTCTCATCTACCATGGGGGTCCCAGGGATGGAATTCAGGTCATCAGCGTGGGTAGCAGCCTCCTCTACCTGGTGAGCCATCTCGAGGGGTCCCAGAGCACTTCTTGGGTAAAAACCAGAGTCCCAAATTGAGATGGACTGCCAATTCCCAGGCCAGTGGTGGCTACAGTCGACTACTCATAGATCTGTGATTTGAGACAGCGTGAACATCAGAACTGTGCTGACCACTGCGACAGAAGCCTGGGAATAGACACCCTGGAGTGGACAGGAGGGTGAGGCGGACGGCAGCCCCAGCTCGCTGTTGTTCACAGCCCCACAAAGTGGACCCAGGAGTGCAGGCACAAATGATCTCTTGTTCTCCTTTGCTTGATAATCTTTCCCTAAGGTTTGGGTTTCCTAGAACTATTGATCCGGCCGGCACCGGCGCCGGGCACACCCTTGGGACCTAAGTGAAGGTTTGGAATCTGCCCTGGCAAGCATATCGCTTTCACTGACAAAAGTAAAGCAAGAGAAAAGGCCTCACCACCAAATGAAATTATACTTAGGTCAGCGGTCCCGAGCCTGTCGTGGTGTCGCACGCACGCCTTTAATCCCAGCACTCAGGCGAACACCAGGCCTGCCAGAGCTACACAGTAGGCTTTTCCTAAAAAAATCAATCAAAAACAGAGGACAGATCTCCATCCCCAAGTAAAAACACCCCAACACATCGTGTTCTTGGGACACGGAAGCATGAAATCAGCATGGTTAGTTTTATTCCTTCCGGTTGTTTATCCGCAGTGAGACGGAGGAAGGGTTGCTACCAACAGAGCTGCTTTTTCTCGATGCAGACCAGGCTGCCCTCGAACTCACAGAGACGCTCCTGCCTCCGCTTCACCAGTGCTGGGACTACAGGCATGCGCCAGTAAGCAATACACCCAGTTTTGTAAATGCAGCCTGAGACGACCAAGGACCGCCGGCAACGCGACCTCCGTACAGTTATCGCGGGGAGCGGCGAGACTTCCAAAGAACAACTTGGAAGAGCGCGCCGCCTCCGGGCGTCACGTGACCCGAGCGCGCCGGCGTCTTGGCTGCGGCTGCGTCCCTCGTCGCGGACTGGCTGCGGGTGCGTCTACGGGGTGTCGCCGGGTTCATTTCGGAAGTAGGCGCTTGAAGCCCGGCTTCCTGGGCGGAAGTGTGTCACAAGCTGGGAGTCGACTCTCGGGAGGAAGTTCGTCACGTCGCAGTTGTCTCGGCCCGGCGGATGTGTGTCGCCGCTTCGGTGACGCTGGGAAGTGCTTGCAGCCCCCGCCGCTGCCTTTTGGTTGAAGCACTATGGAGGGAGAGAGGAAGAACAACAACAAACGGTGGTATTTCACGCGGGAGCAGCTGGAAAATAGCCCATCGCGGCGTTTTGGCGTGGACTCAGATAAAGAACTATCTTACCGCCAGCAGGCGGCCAATCTACTCCAGGACATGGGACAACGACTTAACGTGTATCCTTGCGGCCTAGGCCTTCGGCCTTGGAGCCCGTCCGGCCATGCTTCGACGTCAGGCCGGGCACACCGGCGGGGACGCGAGCGGGTAAGGGGGTGGTGGCAGGAGCTGGACGTCTAAGTGGGGAGAGCCCACAATGGCGCTGGCCGAGCCACTGTTCGCGCGAGGGAAGTGAGGCGGAGTCAATTTCCCGCTCGCTCACCGGTGCCACCAGCCTGGCTGGGAATTCGGACCTCTCCCGTCTTTGTGCTTTCGCCCCTCCTTCCCAGCCCCTCTCATCTGAATTCTGACCTGTTCTAATGGCTTTTGAGAGTCTTTCTGCCGTGACCAAAGGCTCCATTTAAGAGGCTTCACTATTGACGATGACTCCCAAAGTGTGTAAAAAAGGGTTTCGGGAAATCGTGTACCCGGCGGGCTTATGAAGGTGGTCTAGAATTAGTGCCCCGGCTTTGGTTCCAAACCCGTTCCTCCCACTTGCTAGCTGTTTAACTTGCCAAATTCTTGTTTTTCAATGTCCACCACAACGCTTGAGTGTCAGTTGTTCTGGTAGCTGTTTCATAGAATTTAAGAGGAAGGAAAGATGCCAACTTCGGTTATTAGGGAGGTATAAATATGGGAAATAATGTTTTAAGTATTTTGCAGAGTATTGAATCCTTGATTCTCAGGGCATTAGAGACTATTCATTCGTTTTCAAATTTCAAAGATAAGATAATTTATTGACCCCCCACCCCGGTTTTTTTTTTCTCTTAAGAGAATACAGTCATTTGTGGCAAAACTAATAGTTTTGTTAAAACCCTTTCCATTTTCCATCTAACTTTTCTTTTAGGCGCAGCTTCAACTTATGTAGCATTTATTTAAGAGTGATGCTCCATGTGGTGTTCTCCTTTGATCTCAGCTTTGGGGAGGCAGAGGCAGGCCAAAGCTACAAAATGAGACCTTGTCTCCAAAAAAGAAAAAAGTTAGTTCCGACTATAGTGTTTAGGTCTTAAGGGTTATTTTTCTTCTAAATTTGTGATTAGTGTTATCTTTATTGACCAGTTCCCTATTCAAATCCAGTTTGCTTCCCAAGTATTCAGTCAGTGCACAATTAAACCTCTGCGTTTCTGTATATGTTTAAGGCACCCTTTTAAAGTGTATTTAAGCTTGTTACCGTCATATTGTCATCTCTATATAGTCATTGCTGCAGTCTGGGAATAAAACATTTTCCTTTTTTTTTTTCTTCTTGGCTAGAGGTACACCCACACAAACGAAAGACTCTAGGGAGGAGTTTATTTTTAGTGGGTCACCATCAAATCATTTCAAATGTTTTGTAGTTCGGAAATCTACACGTGATATTTCCTGGAAGAAGTAGAACTAAGCTGGGCTTGGTGGTGCATGCCTTTAATCCCAGCACTTCAGAGGTGGAGGCAGGCTGATTTCTGAGTCTGAAGTCAGACTGATCTACAGAGTGAGTTTCTGGACAGCCAGGGCTACACAGAGAAACCCTGTCTCAACACTCCCATATCTACCCACCCATTCCCCAAAAAAGGAAGAAAGATAAAAAGTAGAACTGAAAAATTAATCTCTGGAGTATAAATTATCTTTGAGCGAGCATGATGGCCCAGCAGGTAAAGGCGCTTGCCACCAACCTGATGACCTGAGTTTTATCCTTGTGGCCCATAGGGTGGACAGATAACTGGCTCCTGCAAGTTTTACTCTGACTCACCACACTTATGCTATGGCCTGCATCTCCCCTCCACAAGTAAATGTAATTAGAAAAAAGGTATCCTGAGCTAATGGATCATCTTTGCAGAAGGCAAATGACATGACAGATTTACACTTGTTTTGTTTATTCAGTCATGAGTTCTTATTAAGTTCTTGTTAGGTAGAAGACATGCTGTCAGTTGGCAGTTAATAATTTAAGTAGTTCAGGAAAACAAATCTGTTTGGTTTGAAGCTATAACTGTTACCTTCATGTAGGATAGTCTGCTGTGCTGTTCTTTTGGGAAGGGGATTCTCTTGTCTGTTATTGACCCTTAACTTAAGCATTTCAGCTCACAACTGACTATCAACACTGCTATAGTATACATGCACCGATTCTACATGATCCAATCTTTTACACAGTTCCATCGATATGTAAGTATAATTTTGTATGGTGTAATCCTTTTGGGTTTGATTCTAGGTGCCTATTTTATGATTGTTGTTATTGGACTAGGATTTTAATTTTAGAATTTAGGGCAGGTCATTTTAAGGTTAAAAAAATCATGATTTAAGTATAGCTTTCTACTCGTAATTTAAGACCATAAAAAGACAACCGGGCATTGGTGGCGCACGCCTTTAGTCCCAGCACTCGGGAGACAGAGGCAGGCGGATCTCTGTGAGTTCGAGACCAGCCTGGTCTACAAGAGCTAGTTCTAGGACAGCCTCCAAAGCCACAGAGAAACCCTGCCTCGAAGGGGGAAAAAAAAAAACAAATTAAAAAGACAACTGTAAGTTAGATTTTGCAAAACCTTTGATAAAATTCAGGGGTTAGCTGGAGGGGTTAATGACTGGGGAGGTGACTTTTAGGAATGGGGAAGAGCAATGGGAATAAAAAGCTATTTTTTTTTTCTTGGATAAGGTTGTAAATATAGTACTGTTTTCAGTTTTATTAACTGAAATGACCTATTTAACAGTTGGTGATTTGGAAGTGAATACATAGTGATATTTCAGTTGCAAGTAAGACTATATTTGTTTAAGTAAAATCCCAAGGTAAAGCTGGGTCTATGGTGATACAAGCCTTTAATCCCAGCACTTGAGAGGCATAGGTAGGTGGATCTCTGGTCTACAGAGTGACTACCAGGTCAGCCAGAGCTACATGCTTTTAATCCCAGCCCTCGGGAGGCAGAGGCAGGTGTATTTCTGTGAGTTCGAGGTTAGCCTGGTCTACAGAGAGAGTTCCAGGACAGCCTCCAAAACAATACAGAGAAACCCTGTCTCGAAAAACCAAAAAAAAAAAAAAATCTTTCATGTGGATTAGTGGGTCAAATATTCTACTATTATTTTTAAAGTCTTGAAGGAAACGTGTTTCAAATGTAGGATAATGCACTTTAAAAAACTTAGTTTTATTTTTGGGTGTGTTTGTGCTACTGCCCACAGAGGCTAGATGAGGGCACTGAATTCCCCTGGAGCTGGAGTCATAGGCCGCTGTGATCCACCCTAGGTGGGTGCTGGGGTCAACGTACTGAGACGTCTCCAGCTCAGATAAGACATTTTGAGTTATTTTGTTTTGATGCTATAAGAAGAAACTTTGTGAAGCTAAATCTAATTCTTGTAGTATAAGAAATTGGCAAAATCAGATTTAGAAGTAACAGGAAATTCCTGGGATCTTTAGTTAAGTATTGACAATTTTGAGTGATTAGTCAATTTGACTCTTTGCTGCAGTTAGTTCCTATACTTCTCATAAGCCTTTATTGAAGCTGTCTGATAGCCCTGAAACAGAAGTAGTGAATACAGAATGAAATTAAAGAGAAATTCTGTAGTTGTCTTAGTAATTTTGAAGAGTTTCCTCTCTTCTCTTCTCTTCTCTTCTCTTTTTTGAGATCAGAGCCTCACTATGTAGTCATGGCTGGATTTGAACTATCTAATTTTGGCTGTTTTGAATTTCTAAGTTCTGGCATTATGGGCAGGAGTCTTCTCTTTTATTGCAATAAAGGTTTGAAATTTAGGGTAGAATCTTAAATCAGGTTGTTTAGTCTGCATTTATGGGTTAAGCATATATTTCCCTCATTTAAATGACAGGCTTTTTGGGGGGGAGCGTCCAGACACTTTGTAGACCAGACTGGCCTTGAACTCATGTGAGATCCACCTGCCTCTGCCTCCTGAGTGCTGGGATCAAAGGTGTGGGCCACCACCGCCCAGCAGTAGTTAGTCTTCTCTAGAGTATTGGTTTTAGATATATTTTAGAATTAGCACATCCAAAATATTACTCACTTAACACATTAATTTTATAAGTTGGATTTAACTACAATCAATTAAAATTAGATTTGAGCCTGTTATGGTGGTGCATGCCCTTAATCCTAGCACTCGAAGCAGAGGCAGGTGGATCTCTGAGTTCTAGGCCAGTCTGGTCTACAGAGTGAGTTCCAGGACAGCCAGGACTACACAGAGAAACCCTGTCTCGAAAAACAAAACAAAAAGATTCTAGCCTAATGAGGTGCCTTGTAGCAGGAAAGGTGCTTGCTGTCAAGCCTGACAACCTGGATTCAATCCCTGAAATTTAAAAGGAAGGAGAGAGTGGATAGGGATCAAACCTAGAGCTTTACATAGACCAGATATAACTCTGCTAATTGAGCTCCACTCCCAGTGCCCTCTGTTTTCCTTAATCCATTGATCTGTTGATAGATATCTTGACTAGTTCCTTTTTAGCTTTTTAAGAGTGGAAGGATAAGGAAGGTTGTGCAAGTATCTTTGTGGCATGTCAGACTTTAGACTAGAAAATTGTAACTTAGGTAGCAGTGGGTTGCAAGTCAGTATTACAATGTTTCAGTTGCTGTGTAATCTTGTCTAGTCAGTCACTGAGATCTTTATCTACTTTTTTTTTTTTTTTGTTTTTTGTTTTTTTTGAGACAGTGTTTCTCTGTGGCTTTGGAGACTGTCCTGGAACAAGCTCTTGTAGACCACGTTGGCCTCTAACTCACAGAGATCCGCCTGCCTCTGCCTCCCGAGTGCTGGACTAAAGGCGTGTGCCAACACCTCCCAGCCTTTATCTACTTGTATATTGGCTTGAATTAATTTTCCTCCCCTAAATAAACGGCCTTGACTGTTCTGGAACTTGCTCTGTAGACCAGACTGGCCTTGAACTCAGAGATACCTCTGTCTCTGCCTCCCAAGTGCTGGGATTAAAGGTGTGGGCCATTGCCCCTGGCTTTTTAAAACATTTTTAGACAGTCTCATATATCCCAGGCTTGCTTTGAACTCAGAGAGATCTACCTGCTTCTGCTGGGATTATTGCAGGTGTGGGCTACCACACGGAACAAAAACTTTTTTTAAAATTTAAATTAGAAACAAGCTTGCTTCACATGTCAATCCTGGTTCCCTCTCCCTCCCCTCCTCCCTTGACACCCATCAACCCTCCCAATTCTCCACCCAGTCCCTACTCTGCTCCCCAGGGAGGGTGTGGCCCATTTCATCTGGGGCAGGACCTAGGCCCTCCCCTGTGTGTCCAGGATGAGAGAGCATCCCTCCATGTGGAATGGGCTCCCAACAAAAACATTTTTATTTAATGTGTATGTTGGATACATTTGCATGTTTGCCTGTGTGTAGGGGGCAGAGATTAGAAGTTGACACCAAATCTTCTGTTGCTCTCTACTTTATTTTTGAAATAAGATCTCTCTCACTGAACCTGGAGCATGCTGTTTTGATGGACTGGTTGGCCACGAAGCCTCTAGGATCCACCCATCTGTACCCCTCGGCCCTGGTATTTTAGATGTGCTGTACCCAGACTTATTATATATCCCTACTTATTCTGCTGAGCATCCAAATTTAGTTTTTAAAATTCTACAATTTACCACCCCTTCCCATATTTACAAAAGTAGGCAACCATCACCAGTGTTTGGCTTCAGAACATTTGTGTCAATTCTTTGTTCTTTTTTTTTTTTTTTTTTTTCGAGACAGGGTTTCTCTGTGGCTTTGGAGGTTGTCCTGGAATTTGCTCTGTAGACCAGACTGGCCTCGAACTCACAGAGATTTACCTGCCTCTGCCTCCCGAGTGCTGGGATTAAAGGCGTGCGCCACCAACGCCCGGCCAATTCTCGGTTCTTAACAGTCACTCCTAATCTATTCTTGCAGCCAGCCTCTGGGACTAACCTACTTTCTATCTGTAGATTTACTTATTATAAGGATTTTAATTTACCATTAAAAAAATGGTTGCACATATCTATAATCCTCACATCCAAGAGGCGAATGAAGCAGAAGGTTTGCTAGTTAGAGGCTATCTTGAGCTATATAAACATTGAGTTCCAAACCAGGCTGGGTGTGAGATCCCTATCTAAAAAAGTAGTGCAAACAAACAACAGACTTAATGTGATTTTTCAGTGTAAAACAGCTTTCCATATACAGTCTCCTCTCACTGAGCTCTTGCTGAAGCGTAGCTGTCTGTGATTTGAAAGTCAGAGGCAAGTGTACATAAGAAGGATGAAATATTTATACCAGATGCTTGATTGTTTGATGTTTAGCTCCTCTTGGGTTGATTGTCATTTGGAAATCAATAACAAATGTGACTTTTTTTCTTTTATGAAGTCTATGGCTCCAGCAGCCTTGTTTCTAGCAGCAAAAGTGGAAGAACAGCCAAAAAAACTGGAACATGTCATCAAGGTAGCACATACTTGCCTCCATCCACAGGAGTCACTTCCTGATACAAGGAGTGAGGTAGGTAATTACACTTTTTAAAAACCTTGAATCTGGGCCATTAACTTTTCAGTATTTAATTTTTAAAATACAAAGTTTGTTGTAAAATTAAAAACTTTGTAAGAGCAAAGAATCATGTCACCTTCATGTGTTTCTTTTTATCCCACTCTTTTTGTTTGTTTTCTGAGACAGGGTTTCTCTGTGGCTTTGGAGGCTGTCCTGGAACTAGCTCTGTAGACCAGGCTGGTCTCGTACTCACTTTATCCCGCTCTTTATATGGAAATGTTTTTCTTATTCTCTACTGTTTAGAAATGTTCAGTTGCTTGATGTGATGGCACATGCCTTTAATGCTAGCACTCATAAGACAGGCAGCCGGATCTCTGAGTTCAAGGCCAGCCTGGTTTATAAATCCAGTTCCAGGACGGCCAGGACTGCACAAAGAAATCCTGTCTCACAATACCAAAAAAAGAAAAAAAGGAAAAAAAAAAGAAAAAAAGAAAAAGTCTATATGGTATTTCATCATATATTTGCATATTTATATCTAACCATTCTGCGAACATAACACAATTTCAGCTTTTTATTGAAGTTAGAAGCATTCTTTGTGGTGGTGGGTTTTTTGTTGGTTTGTTTTGGGGTTCAGGGTTTCTCTGTAACTCTGGCTGTCCTGGAACTTGCTCTGTAGCTCAGGCTGGCCTCAAAGTCAGAGATCTGCCTGTCTCTGCCTTCCGGGATCAAAGGTGCACACCACCACACCCAACTTCTTGAAGTATGAAAAAGGGTCACTGCCTGACTTAAATATCAGTTTGGAAAATGAACCACGTGCCTAGAGATAATAAAATGTGTGTGTGTTTATTATATTTGATTTTAGGCAAAAGGTTAAGAGCATTGTAGTCAATAAAGAGTTCAAACCGTACTTGGGAGGTAGAGGCAGGTGGATTTCTGTGAGTTCGAGACTAGCCTGGTCTACAAGAGCTAGTTCCAGGACAGCCTCCAAAGTCACAAAGAAATCCTTTCTGGAAAAACCAAAAAAAAAAATTCAAACATTTTGTTTATTTATATTTTTCAAGATTGGGTTTCTCTGTGTAGACTAGGCTGACCTCAAACTCAGAGACCTACAGAGTACAAACTTTGAAAAATCATTTCAGATTAAGTTCTCCTTCCTTTTTTCCTGTGAGAATATGTTGGATACAGTTTCATAGATATGCTGCTGGATCTTTATCCTAAGCATGCATATATATGTACATACATATTTTTTTTTTCATGCTTCCTTGACTTTCATGTGTGTACTTGTGTTAGTGATGTTAGGTATTCAATCTAATACCTCAGAAAAAATGCTAGAGAAACATTTTATTGCAAAGCCACACCCCCAAGCTGGATGCCTTCAGCCCTATCACTTTGGAGGCAAAGGCAGGTGGATCTCTGTGAGGCAATCTGGTCTGCATAGTGAATAGTGAGAGCCTGGCTCCTCTCTCTCTCTCTCTTTTGACTTTTTGAGACAAGGTTTCTCTGTGTAGCTTTAGAATCTGTCCTGGAACTTGCTCTGTAGATCAGGCTGACCTCAAAGTCACAGAGATCCTCCTGCCTCTGCCTCCTGAGTGCTGGTATTAAAGGTGTGTGACACCAACACCCGGCCTGAGAGCCTGTCTCTTAAACAAAGGGGGGGGGGGTGCCGGAGAGATGGCTTGGAGGGTAAGAGCACTGGCTGCTCTTTTAGAGGTTGATTTCAATTCCCAGCAACCACATGGTGGTTCACAACCATCTGTAATGAGATCTGGTGCCCTCTTCTGGCATTCAGGTAGAACACTGTATACATAATAAATATATAAATCGTTAAGAAAGAAAGAAAGAAAGAAAGAAAGAAAGAAGGCAGAGGTAGGCGGATCTCTGAGTTCGAAGCCAGCCTGGTCTCCAGAGCGAGTTCCAAGACAGCCTCCAAAACAAAACAGAGAAACCCTGTCTCGAAAAACAAAAAAACAAACAAACAAAAAAACAAAACAAAAAAAAAAAACAAAAAGAAAAGGAAGCCACACCCCTAGTCCTTGGCTCTCCAAGATGGTTTCTCTGTGGGGCTCTGGCTGTCCTAGAACTCACTTTGTAGACCAGGCTGGCCTCACTCTGCCTCTTGAGTGCTGGGGTTAAAGGTGTGCAACACCACTGCCTGATGTCCTCAGCTTTTTAAAAAGAAGGGCGACACTCCTGGTTTTATCCATATATTTAAAAAATGATTTATTGTGTATTGAGTTAAATATGTCTGTGTGTGTGTGTGTGAGTGAGTGCTGGGAATTGAACTCTTGTCCTCTGTAAGAGCAATATATGCACTAAGTCACTGAGCCATCTCTCCAGTTCAGCTTTTAGAAGTCAATGATTAGAGATATTGAGAATCCTAACAATTTCAATTGAGACACAATTACGGATTTCTGTTACTAGGTTATTGAAGTCTCTTATGGGCATATTAATTATGTTTTATGAAAAAGATAGATGGAATTATATGTATTTTTTTCCTATTGAAATTTTCTGTATCTTTTCAGTTTTAATATATGTAGCTTTAAAATGAGCATTGGTAGCCACTTTTTTTCTCCACCATGATGCAACATCTGAGAAAACAAAGGGAAGGAGGATTCTTTTTGGTTCAGTTTCAAAGATTTCAGCCTATGGTTACTTATCTGTATTATTTTGGACCCAGGTTATGAGGCAGAATATCATGACCAGGAAGAAGCAGGTAGTAGAGCAAAGTCTTCATCTGGCAGCTAGTAGCTAGAGCAACAGTAAAGAGCCAGGGACAAAATGCTGTCTTTCAAGGGTGTGCTTCTGTGACTTCCTTCCTGGCCCCACCTCCTTGTTTCTTCTACCTTTTATAATGCCATCACATTATCACTGCATTTTCCCATTAATCCACTGGGGAGGTCAGAGCCCTCATGATCTAATTACTTCCTAAGAGCTGACAGTCAGACCTTAAAGTTTATTTTTTATTTATTAGTGTGTGGTGTGCCTGTGTGCCTATATGCATGTGTTCCAGCCAGCCAGCCAGCCAGCCACAGACTGGAGGCTAGAATACAACTGTGTGCCTAGCTTTTCTCTTTCCACCTTTATTGGGTTTTCTAAGACTGGTTGCCAGGCTTGCTTGACACATCTTAACTGTCAACCATTTTTCCAGCCCAACACCTAGACCCTTTAACACATCAGACTTTGGGAGACATTTCATATTAAAATCTTTTTTTTTAAATTATTTTTATTTATTTATTTTGGTTTTTTCAAGACAGGGTTTCTCTGTGGCTTTGGAGGCTGTCCTGGAACTCGCTTGGTAGTCCAGGCTGGTCTCGAACTTACAGAGATCCGCCTGCCTCTGCCTCCCGAGTGCTGGGATTAAAGGCGTGCGCCACCAATGCCTGGCCTTCATATTAAAATCTTAACACATTTCTTCCCTTTTCCAGAACATATTCACATAATTCCTTACTTGAGTATTTAGCCCATATGAGGTGGTAATATGAAGATGTTTGCTCCAGTATAAGAAAAAGAGGACTAGCTAGCATAGTTGGTATCCTTACTTGCTTTACTACTGTAAACTTTAGTGTGAGGTTAACTACAATATAGTCTCTTTTTGTAAAATATTAAGTACAAAGCTCAAGGACAATAAGTACAATCAGATATAGTGCTGTTAGAGGATCTGCAAAAAAGTGATGATTTTTAAAAAATGTATGTTATTAAAATATCAGTCTGAAAATAAATAAAATTGTGCCTTTTTTTAGTAGCCTTGCACAACTAGTAAAGTGTTGTCTTTTGATGATCTTGGCTCTTCCTGTACTAAAGAGAATAGGGAGAAAGATTATATTTCAGTTCCAACTCTACCTCTTCTCTCCCATACCACCCCTCTTAAGATTTAAAAATTTTATGAGTGTTTGCCTATATGTATGATAAGTGCATCACATGTATGTAGTGCCTGTGAAGAGGGAGGGGGCCAGACTCCCTGCAGCTGAAGTCACAGATGGTTGTGAGCTGCCATGTGGGTGCTGGGATGAACCTGGGTCTGAATTTTTCAGTCCTCTTTCAGTGGCCTCCACTTATGCCTTTTATTACTTTGTTTTTTAAAATTGTTTTACCCTTTTGTGGATGTAATTTCTGTTTTCTCTCCCATAGGCCTACCTACAGCAAGTTCAAGATCTGGTAATATTAGAGAGCATAATTTTGCAGACCCTAGGTAAGTATATTTTCCTTAAAAGGATGAAAAATTATGTATGGAATAATGACTTCATGTTAAAATCTGTAAAACTGGGGAAAAAAATCTTTTGAAGATTTTGGGAAGTGTCTGTTCCTGGGTAATAGTGGCTGTGGAGCTTGTAGTTTAGCCCTGGTCTGTTTCCACAGTGTAGGTGTATGGTGATCCTTGAAATAGAGGTTAGCAGGATTCTGTTTTTATATTTTTCTCATTGTAAGCTTTATGATTTAGTTTTTTGATAGTTTGGCAGTTTTCAACCTGATAAATAATGGCAAAAAATAGACTCAGATATCCAATTGTGTCTGCCTCCTAAGCATGCTGAGATTAAAGGTGTGTGCCACTGTCCCCACCCCTTCTCTTGCATGTGATACCAAGCTTGGTCAACTATATTTTCATTAAGAGACCTGAATTATAATTGGCAAGATTTTTGTTTGCTTGCTTTTTGTTTTTTAGAGACAGGGTTTCTCTATGTAGCCCTGGCTGTTTTGAAACTCTGTCAACTAGGCTGGTCTCAAATTCAGAGCTCTGCCTTCTGAGTGGGATTAAAAGTATGTGCCAGCACAGGCTAGTGAAACAGTACCTTTATTAGATAGAAACAAGTTCAGTCTTAATTCACAGTTACCAGTTTTCCTGTTAAAATAATTTGTATCATGTGATTTGTTCATTATATCTTTATTATGTTTTCATTTTAATATTATTTATTTATTTTGAGACAGCGTCTTAGCGTGTAGCCCAGACTGGTCCTTGAACTTACTATGTATGTATGAGATCAGATTGGTCTCAAACTTGGTCTCAGACTGGTCCTTGAACTTACTATGTATGTATGAGATCAGGTTGGTCTCAAACTTGCAGACACCCTCAGCCTTCTGAGTATGCCACTATGCATGTCTGGAATTTTTATTTATTTATATCCTCAAAGAAATTTTACTTCTGTTATTTTCCTCAATGCATTGACCCTGTTGTGTAATTTTGGTAATGAACTTTTGAAATGGGATAAAGAAGCAGGACACTGATGATGGAGAGGAATGAGAGGTCCTGAGTTCAATTCCCGGCGACATGGTGCCTCACAACCACCTTGAATGAGATCTGGTGCCCTCAATAAATAAAATTAAAAAGAGAACAACAAAAAATTTTCTAACCCAGCTCTCAGGATTGCCAGAGAGCTACAGCCAGCCTCAGTCACAGAATGGGGTTCTGTCACACTTTTTTTTTCTTTTCACTGTTAAGCTTCAAGGGACTGAGGACAGCTCAGTTGGTAAAATGGTTAGCATTCACGAATCCTAGGCTTGCTATATCAGTCCTCAGAACTTAACAAACTGCATGTTGGTAGTATATGCTAGTGTTTCCAGCATTTGGGAGCTAGAGGCAAGAGGATCAAAAATTCACAGCATTATAGTGACTTTGAGGCCATTCTGGGCTACATGGTACTATCTTTTCATACTCTTTACTTCCCTAAATAAAAGAGAGTAAACTTTGGAAGGCACATTTGTTTGTGTGGCTGTTTCTTTCGACCTTGTACTATATATCCATTTGTTCTTAAAAAGGATTAAAGCTGTTTTTAGACTTTATGTGTGTGTTTTGCCTACATATGTGTCTTTGCCACATGTGTGCCTGGTTGGTGCCCACAGAGGTCAGAAGAAAATGTCAAATTCTTTGGAACTAGAGTTACAGTGAACTACCATATGGTGCTGGGAGTCAAACCCAGCCCTCTACAAGAGCAACAAGTGCTCTAAACCACTCAGGCATCTTTCCAGCTGCCTAAAAAACAGATTTTTGCGTTTGTTTCTTCAGTGGTCTTAATTTTAGAGAAAGGTGTTATGTATACTGTGTGATTTTTGGTTCTTACACAGTACTTTTAGGAGAGAAAAATGAACAGGCCATTAATCATTCAGACAAAAGAGGTATAAAATGTGTTTTTTGTTTTTGTTTTTGAAGGGTTTGAATTAACAATTGATCACCCACATACACATGTGGTAAAGTGCACCCAGCTTGTTCGAGGTAAGTAATTGCAAACTGTTTTGAATTGTTTAGTTATTTGGGGGCTGTGCTTGGCTGTGGACTAAGGTACAGCCCAGCCCAGCTGCTTTGTCCATATTAAGTGTCCTGTATGGCTAGTGCCAGACACTTGGTTCTGACCTATTAGAAGAAGTGCTTTTAGATGCTCTTCATCTAATGAGAATGTGAGGTTAGCATTACTTGTCATTCTGACAGGATCACTTGTGAGACAGGCCTCTGGGTAGTAGATAGTAACCTTGATTGTGTTCTTGGAGACTGGAAGGCCCACCTAGTGGACCGGCCCATTCGTGAAAAAGGGGAGTAGGCAGCAGCTGCATCATCACCTTGTTTCTGACTGGATGCAGGTGAGCAGCTGCTTAGGCTCTGCAGCCCTGACTTTATCACTGTGATGCACTGTCTGTGAGCAGAATAAACCACAAAATGTTAGGGTCTTTTATTAGAGCAACAGGAAAAGAAACCAAGAGTTAACTTGTGTTTGGTTGAGGGTATTTTGCCAGTGTAGGGGAAGATTTGGGAAAGTCACCAACTCAGAAAATCTTGAAAGTTTTGGTGATACTGGGCCAGCAAGGTAGCAGCTCAGTCAGTAAAATCACTTGCCACCAGCCTGAGTTTGCGCCCTGAATCCCATGGAGGAGGAAAAAACTGACTTCCAAAAGTTGTCCTCTGATTTCCATATATACTCTGGCACTCCAGTGCCCTACCTCCACACACACGAGGGTGGGGAGGTGGGGGTGGCTGGGGGGTGGGTGGAGAAGAGAAAGTATAGTGTACTTTGTAAAGTGGATGATCTTATTTTAGTTCATGTCTAATTAAAGAAAACCCTCTAGGCGGAAGTTTCTGTCCTTCCCTGTTCTGCAGCCGTTCAGTCCCAAATAAACACACATAAGCTTATATTATAAATTATTTGGCTTATATATAATTCAGGCTTATTACTAACAAGCTCTTACAAGTTAAATTAACCATAATTCTTATCTGTGTTTAGCTTGGTACCTTTTCTCAGTATGGCATTCTCATCTTGCTTCCTCTGCATCTGGCTGGCGACTGTGTCTCTGCCTTTCCTCTTCCCAGAATGCTCCTAGTCTGGTAGCCCTGCTTATACTTCCTGCCTTGCTACTGGCTACAGTGAACAAGAACATTATCCCACATCAAAAGATGATAGAGAGTTAATCTTGAACTTATTTCTATTACTGAAAATCCATTGGGCATGATATACTTCTCTATTATTTATTTTTATGTGTATGGGTGGTTTGTTTGAGTGAATGTCTGTGTAGGACATGTATGGCTAGTACCCTTGGAGGCCAGAAAAGGGCATCAGATCTACTGGAACTGGATCTACAGATGGTTGTGAGCCACTATAAGGTGCTGGGAATAGAACCCTGGTTCTCTGAAAGAAAGGCCAGTGCTCTTAATCACTGAACCATCTCTTCAGTCCAATTTAAAAAATAGTTCTTAAATGATTAATTAAAAAACTAACTAATTTTAAATTGTTTTCATTTTTGAGACATAGTTTCACTTTGTAGCCCTGGCTGGACTGGAACTTATTAAGTAGATCAAGCTGACCTGGAATTTAAGATTTCTGTCCTCTTAAGTGCTAGAATTAAAGGTGTGCACCACCATATCCAGCTTTGTTTATGTTGTTTTGTAGAGTTTAAACTTAGGGCCAAGTATATGTAAGGCAAGTGTTCTGCCATTGAGTTACATCCCTAATCCTTAAGGTTCCTTTTATTTAAATAGTATCATTAATATCTGGAGTGCCAGTTGTGGTGGTGACACACACCTACATTCCCAGTACTAAGGAGGCTGAGGTCGGAAGTTATTGCACATTCTAAGCTAGCCTAGGCTGCATAGTGATACCTATCCAACAACACAAACAGCAAACAAGGAGCATGTGAGGCTGGACATAGGTCTCAGTGGTAGAGCCTTTGCTAATACACATGGAACTCTGGGTTTTATTCTGAGAGACAAAAGGTCTGGATATCATTGAGCATATAGATGTCTTGTAGAGTTTTATATGCCAAGTTGATAATCAGCCTTATTTTTCATGTTATTAAAACTTAAGTTTGTTTTTATGTGGGAGGTGGGGATGGTATTTATGTGCCACTTGGCATGTCTGGAGGAGGGCAGAAGATAACTTTTGGGAGTCAGTTCTCTTCCACCATGTGGATCTGGGGTTGAACTCAGGTTGTCAAGGCTGGTGGCAACTACGTTATCTCATTTTACCTGTCCAAGTTTTGTGAGTTCTGTGTAGTTTAAAAGCATTGAAGTAGCTGGGTAGTTAGTGGTGGCTCACACCTTTAGAGACAGGAGGGTCTCTGAGTTTGAGGACAGCCTGATGTACACAGAGAAATCCTGTCTTGAAAAACAAAAACGAAAAAAAAAAAAACCACAAAAAGATTGGAAATGAGTAGTAGAACATGTGTGTGACCTGAAAAAGGCCCTAGGTTCAATTGCAGTGACCCATTTCACCCTTTCCAAAGACCCAGATCTGCTTCCTTAGGTGGAGTGTAAACACCACGAACTCGGGCATTATGTCATCTAGTTTATCACTGTAGTACTTTACAAATAATGCTAAGTGTTTACTGTATGCTTGTCAAGAAGAATGAAATTAATAACTTCTTTTTCTTTTGTTTTTGTTAGCAAGCAAGGACTTAGCACAGACATCTTACTTCATGGCAACCAACAGGTTTATATTTTTATTTTTTTTCTTCTGTTTTGGGATTTGGAATTTGGTTGGACTGGATTTGTCACCTTTTGAGTGGTGTGTATAGTAAACTAGAGACAAAAGACCATAGAAATAATCTTTGATACAGTGTATTATAGACAATTCTCTGGAGAATGTGGATATTTCTGCAGACTCTTTGTACCTTACATTTGCATTATAACTTTTAAATTGCTAAGGTTTTATAATTATTTAGCTTATCCAATTCTATGTATTAGCTTTGCTGTAAAATGTCCGAGAGCATAATTCTGAAAATTCCTGTAATTTTAGGGATTGTTGGTTTTCTTCTCCTCTGCCCAAACAATGGGCACTTAACATATAAGGATTTGCGATATATTTTTCTGTAAAAGTGTTGTTAGTATATAACTTGTTCTGCTAAGTGGCTTGCTTGGTCTCAGGTTTGGTTTCCCGTATTGTTTGTTCAGAGAAACTAATGTCCTCAGTCATCAAGTGTAAGATTTTCAGTTTTAGTAAGTGGATAAAAAGCGCCATGGATGTAACTCAGTTCCTAGAGTGTTTTCTTAGCATACACCAATTCCTGAGTTTAATTCCCCAGCACTGTGTACATTGAATATGGTGGCCCATGTACATTGAATATGGTGGCCCATGCCTGTGATGCCATTTTATAAACACAGATAGACAAGCACACACACAAACGAGAGGGAGGAGAAATGAAGTTTCTAAAGAAAGAGTCAGGTATTAGATCCAGTTTGTACTTCTCAGCATTTGGAAGATAGGATTGCTGTGGTTGGAGGGCAGCCAAAGACTGAGCCCCTGACTAAAAACCAAACGAAATCTTGGGGGGGGGGCAATCAGGTATATTTATATTTGAGCAATTGTTTTTTATTGTGTTTTTTCTTTTGATTTTTTTTTTTCTTTTGAGACAAGGTCTCATGACCCAGGCTAGCCTTGAACTTTGATCTCTCATGTGTTGGGACTGTAGGCATCTGATACTGTGTTGGCTTTTTTTGTTTGTTTTTGGCTTTTTGGGTTTTTTGAATTGTTGTTTTAGTTTTGGTTTATGACAGGGTCACAGTAACTCTGGTCTTGAAGCTTGCTTGTAGACCAGGCTAGCCTCAGATTCACAGAGATCAGCCAGCCTCTGCCTCCCAATTGCTGGGATTAAAGATGTGCACCACCATAGTTGACTACCTAGTTCTTTTTCTTTTACTTTTGTTTTTGTTTTCTGTTCACTAGTCAGTGTATATATTATGTGATAAATAGGAAATTTAGAAATGTTGTTAACCTGACCAGTATTTTATTAGAAAATCATACTGAGGGCCTGGAGAGATGAGACAGGTTCAGGGCAGCACATATAGCTCTCCCAGAGGACCTGAGTTCCATTCCCAGCATCCATTGTGGGGAGGTACACCATGGCCGCAATTCTAACTTCAGGAAGTTGGACACCTATGGTCTCCTGGATACCTTCACTCCTGTGCATGTACCCCCATACAGACATGTACACATAACTGAAATTAAATCTTTTAAAGAAAGGAAAGAAGAAAATCACATTGAGTGCTGAGTCAGAGCACAGGATATTTCTTGCCCTTCTCACTCTCCCATGGTTTTTGTTTTTTTGTTTTTTGTTTTTTTTAATAATGGAGAGTTTTAGTTTAGGGTTGAGAATTGAGGGCTCATGACACTCTCTGTTTCCTTCCCTTTGACGTCAGCCTGCATTTGACCACATTTAGCCTGCAGTACACACCTCCTGTAGTGGCCTGTGTCTGCATCCATCTGGCTTGCAAGTGGTCCAACTGGGAGATCCCAGTCTCAACTGACGGGAAGCACTGGTGGGAGTATGTTGACGCCACTGTGACCTTGGAACTTTTAGATGGTAAGTTTTAGTGTAAGGGACCTTGAAACAAACTTCTTCATTTGTCACATATCTGGCCAAATGTGACTTGATTCAGATGAAAACAGTGAGTTAGTTGAGGTTATTCTTGTTTCATTATCTTCTTGTCTCTGAGGACTTCTTGAATGTTTTATTTGTAGAATTGACACATGAGTTTCTACAGATTCTGGAGAAAACTCCAAGCAGACTGAAACGTATAAGAAACTGGAGGGTAAGAATTATTGCTGACAAACTTATTCTTTCCTTTAACTTGGCAAGTGACTATACCAGAATCATATATGTACACTAGGTTTGGAATGTCCTTTTTCTTACTTAACAGTAATTGTGACTTGGTAGCATGGATGCTAACTAAAATGTCAGTCTGTAGGGGGCTTTGCTTTGGGGCCTATGCAAGTTGTGCAAATTGCCTTTTGCACAATTTCTTGGTCAGTGACTTTGGTTGAGTATTTATTTGGTTTGTTTGCACACATGTATCCACATGTAGGTGTGTATGCCTGTGAGCATATGGAAGCCAGAGGTTGATTCCTGTGTTTTCTTCTATTGGTCTCCATTATTTTTGAGACATGGTCTTTCTTACTGAACCTGGAGTTCACTGAGCTAGACTGGCTGGCCTGAACTCCAGGGATCAACCTATGTCTGCCTGTCTGTCTCCCTCTACCCACCTCACTCTGGAGTCACAGATACATGGTACTGCACTGGGATTTTACATGGGTGCTGGGGATCTAAGCTCAGATACTCATGCTTGCAATGCAAGTACCCCCTGAACCGTTTTCCCAACTCCAGTTGTATATTTTCTGTACATTGTTAACTTCTGGTAGAGAGGCAAGGTATGTATGGAATTACAAGGGTTGATTGTAATTTTATCCTTAATATTAGCCACTTAAAATGTTTTATTATTCTCCTTTCCTTCTTCTATCCCTCCCTTCCTTCCTTTTAAAAAGATTTATCATTGCATTTGAGCATGGTTTTGTATGCCCTTAATCCCAACATTTAGGAGACAGATCTTTGTGAGCTTGAAACCAGCTGGGGCTACAAAGTAAGACCCTGTGGTGGTAGTAGGGGAGGATATATTATTATTATTATTATTTTGTGTGTGTGTGTGTGTGTGTGTGTGTGTGTATGTGCGCGTGCACGCACACACGCACCCCTGCCTACTGCATGCAATGCCTGTGGAGGTCAGAAGAGGGTGTCAGATGCCCTGGGACTGGAGTTACAAGTTGGGAGCTGCTGTAGGTGCTGAGAACTGAGTCCAGATCTGCAAGAGCACAGTGGGTGCTTTTAACTTCTGAGCCATCTCTTCAGCCCAGGATTTTCTGTTTATATGGGTTGTAGTCTAAAGCTGTAATGCAGGTAATTTTAGTCTTATGAATAATGGAATCACTTCTTTTTACCACAGCATCAGATAGGTGAACTTGGGGTACATCTCAGTGATAGGATAAGTATTTAGCATGCATAAGGCCTTGTACTCAATCCTCAGTGCCCAAAGAGAAAGAATAAAGCCTCCTGCAACCCCTTTTTGAGACAAGGTCTTATGTGCCTCCAGCTGACCTTGAGCCTTGCTGTTAGAGGCTGGCTGGCCTTGGACTCCTGATCTTCCTGCCTCTACCTTAACTGTTGGGACTGCAAGCTGTTCCACCATTCTCCTGAGTCTAGGGAATTATAGATAATGCTTGCCTCTAGAAACTTTGGGTTAGACTTAGATTTAAGCATGTACTTCATCTTTATTTTCATATAAAACTCCAAATTTTCTAGAATTTAAAGACTAACGACATCATAGTTACACTGGATGCTTTAAGTGTGATTTTTTTCTAGGTGTGATGACGCATGACTTTAAGCTCTTAAGAGTTAGAGACAGTTGGGTCTCTGTGAGTTTGAGACTTGCCTGGTCTAGGTATATAGGGAGTTTCAGAACAATCAGGACTACATAGAGAAATTCTGTTTCAAAATAAACGCAAGAAACCCCACCTTCAATACATGTAAAGAAGAAGAAAAAAAAAACCCTAAAAAACCAAAAGGTTCTTAGTTGATGGTTTAGTATACTTACATGTAGTAATTGCCTGGAATGAAGAGATTTTATTTGCTTCATTTTAGGCATACCAGGCTGCCATGAAAACTAAACCAGATGACCGAGGAACAGATGAGAACACATCGGAGCAGACAATCCTCAATATGATTTCTCAGACCTCTTCAGACACAACTATTGCAGGCTTAATGAGCATGTCAACTACTTCTACAAGTGCAGTGCCTTCCCTCCCTGTCTCTGAAGAGTCCTCCAGCAGTCTAAGTAATGTGGAAATGTTACAAGGCGAGCGATGGCTGTCTTCCCAACCCCCCTTTAAGCCAGAGTCTTCTCAGGGTCATCGGACGAGTGAGAATTTAGCACTTATTGGAGTTGATCATTCCTTGCAACATGATGGTTCAAATGCATTTGTTTCCCAGAAGCAGACTAGTAAGAGCGTGCCATCAGCTAAAGTTTCACTTAAAGAATACCGTGCAAAGCATGCCGAGGAGTTGGCTGCTCAGAAGAGGCAGCTAGAGAATATGGAGGCCAATGTGAAGTCTCAGTATGCATATGCCGCCCAGAATCTCCTGTCACATCATGACAGCCATTCTTCAGTCATTCTGAAGATGCCCATTGAGGGCTCAGAAAATCCTGAACGTCCTTTTCTAGAAAAAGCAGACAAATCAGCTCTGAAAATGAGACTCCCGGTAGCTGGTGGAGATAAAGCAGCCTCCTCAAAACCAGAGGAGATAAAAATGCGCATTAAAGTCCACTCTGCAACTGATAAGCACAATTCTGTAGAAGACAGTATCACCAAGAGCCGGGAGCACAAAGAAAAGCACAAACCTCACCCGTCCAATCACCACCACCATCATAATCACCATTCACACAAGCACTCTCACTTACAGCTTCCTGTTGGTACTGTGAACAAACGGCCAAGTGATCCAAAACATAGCAGCCAGAGCAGCAGCACCTTAGCACACAAGACCTATAGCTTGTCTAGTACTTTGTCTTCTTCCAGCTCTACACGTAAGAGGGGTCCTCCAGAAGAGACGGGGGCAGCAGTGTTTGATCATCCAGCCAAGATTGCCAAGAGTACTAAATCCTCTTCCTTGAATTTTCCCTTCCCACCTCTTCCTGCAATGACCCAGTTGCCTGGGCATAGCTCAGACACAAGTGGCCTGCCCTTTTCACAGCCTAGCTGTAAAACTCGGGTTCCTCACATGAAACTGGATAAAGGTCCTCCTGGGGCTAATGGTCACAACACAACTCAGTCAATAGATTATCAAGATACTGTGAATATGCTTCACTCCTTGCTCAGTGCCCAAGGTGTTCAGCCTACTCAGCCCCCTGCATTTGAATTTGTTCATTCTTACGGTGAATATATGAATCCACGAGCTGGAGGGATCTCCTCCAGATCTGCCAATACAGACAAACCTCGACCACCACCCCTCCCATCAGAACCTCCTCCGCCACTTCCACCTCTTCCTAAGTGAAAAAAAAAAAAAGGCGGAAACTTAAAAAACAAAAACACTTTTTGTTTTTGGGTTTTTTGTTTGTTCTTTTGTTTTGACTACTGATACTGGACTACGAAAATTACATCCCTTATGAAATACGTCACCCTTGGACTAAGGAGTAAATTGATACTGAGATAGGTGGGAGGATGGTGGAGGGCCCCAGATACATCTGCTGCCTCATACATCTATTTTCTTACAGTTTTACTGGTATCAGAGGTAGGATTATGTTGAAGCTGTGAAGGATTACGAACACTCTGTTCTTGGCCTCTCCTCATCCGAATGGGGTTGATTGGAGTAGTTATCTTCCCTCTTCTTGCTGGAACTGAAATGTGGGGGTGATCAAGCAGTTGTGTTTAACATATCAGAAGAGAGGAAGTATTTAAACGTCAGATCTTTAAGAGACTTTTAAAAAATAATTTAAAGAAAGTAAGTTATCTGTTTAGTTTTTTTATATAATCGGGAATGGGAAGGGATTTTGCTGTGTGTATGAGGTACATAGCAATGACTGAGGGTGGGGGTTGGAGGGTGGTGTGTGTGCAGGGTGGGTGGGAGGGTAGGCTTTTGGCCAAGAGTGAAATAGTCTCAGGCCACTTGAAGTATTGAGACCTTTAAAATTGTGTGTGTGTGTGTGTGTGTTATGTGTGTGTGTGTGTGTGTGTGTGTTTGTAAAAATCATGTTACCCTTTTCTTCTCTCTTTACCATTTTCATATCCCAGTATTCTAGAGAGCATGGTTGGCCTTGAGAACATGAAGAGGCTTGTATTGACGTTGTAAATCATCCCCATACTGCAGCGCATGTTTATGTTGTAATTGAATAGTAGCCCTCTCGTTTCTAGTTAGGACATATGTAGCCAATGACCTGACTCTCTAGCACTATTATGAAAACTTCCCCCTTTATCCCTTTTTGTGTTTTCAATGCAGATGGAGGTGGGATTGAGGAAGAAGCTTATAGAGCAAGGCCGGCTACTGCCCTACAGAATGGGCCTTTTTGGTTGGGCTTTGGGAAAGCTCAGGTCTCTAAGGGAAGAAGGGTGTGCTTTGCTTTGCCTGCCCTGTCTGTTGGAGACCAGACCATGTGTGGTGACAGGTTTGGGAGAAGCCATGCAGTAATGATACTAAAGACAATGAAATTGTGATTTGGGATTCTGAAGACTTTGCATTTTAAGTTACATTATGAATGTAATTCTTGCTTTTTATCTGTCTGTCTAATGGTAAAAAACTGCATACTTGTGTTTGCAGCCTGTATGACTTCAGAGATGAGTGAACTTAACAGCGCTGGTGTAATGAGTGAGCAATCCTAGCCAACAGACACTGTTGTGTTAAGATTGTTTCTTTTGGGTGGCTTTTGATTCTAGACAGAAATTCCAAAGAGTTTTGTTTAAAAGAAGTAGATCAGGAATCCTTTTATTTGGTTTGATTAGTCCAAATATTAGGGAATATTTTTTGATGAAGGAAATCTTTGAAGAGATAATGGCTAGGAAAAAATTCTAAGCCAAGCTGTCTAACTGAAAATGCTACCTAGCCTCAGATCATTGCTATTTGGTTCGTTGCATGAAAAAAAAACATATATATATATGATATATATATACACACACACATGTGTATACACATCTGTATGTGTGTACTTTTTTTTTTTTGCTATGGAAAAAATGGTGCTATGAAAATAATTTGTCTCTTGTTTTAATTAGTGAAGTTTCTGTCATGCCAAGTAGTCTTTAGGGAGAGGTCAGATTCTTTTCACTGAAAGTCATAGAGAAACAGAAGCTGTGTGGTGCTGCTTGCCAGGAACAGACTAGGAAAACACTGAGGCAGTTACTATTGATGTAATGGCCCAGTAGAGGAGAATGTATAGGAGGCCTATATCTTAAGGTGATTTTCTGGTTCTTAATCTGCATGTCTGAACTGTCCCGAGTGCCTGCCATTGCTGAGCAAAACAAGGAGCTCTTTCTAATCTATAAGCCAGTGATATTTTTTGGTATGCAACTTTTAAAAGTGACATTTTCTTTCTTCTTGGTATTTCCTGTGTTGTGCAAGATAGATGTGTCATCATGGTTGGTAAATTTAGGCTTGGTATTTGTTTAGATTTTGTTTCCCATCCTGACTTTCCCAAAAAGGAATGTGCCATTTAGTTTGCATCTGTATCTGTGGGATTGACAATAGTTGATTTGGGAAAATGTTCTGGCTTTTAATTCTAATTAATGTCACGTATTTTCTAATCACATGCACTCCCTTACCACACAGTCTGTCATATTTGCTGTTAGAGCAGTTCTTCATGGTAATACTGTAGTTAAATTTCCAAGAACTCTGTCAGTAGTGAACTAGAAAAAAAATGCTTACTAGAATCTAAAGAGCTACTTCCCGCTATAGCCTGGTCTTTCTAATGTAGATCAACTTTGAATGTGGTTAGTTTATAGACTTTTCTTGTATTATTTCCTCCTGGTATTGTCTATAGTGCCTAGGTCCTGAACCTTTTTGTGGGCTCGGCATGAACTGCTGCATTATTTTTGGGTTAGCAGATACACCTGCCAGTTAGCATGCATATTGTCCAGTTTTGATATAAATAAGGCTTCTAAGCCAGTATGTGTCTCTCCTACCTTCAGACCTTCAAAGGTTGAGAAGTAGTATTTGTATATCAAGTCAGCTTTGTAAACATGGCTTTTTGTTTTTTCTTTTAGTCTAAGCTGTCAAGAATAAGTGACAGTGGTAAGCAGGCTTGGAGCCTCAACTTCTGTAAATCTCATTCCTAAAATTTTGCTTGACAGAAATAAATAACCTGTGGATTGTCTTTAGGGCTTTTAATCATACCTGTGTTGTTGGCTGAACTCTGGTGAATCATTAACTAAAGCCAGTGTGGTCTTCTGAAGTATTCAGTTAATGCCTTTTGGGTTTAGAAAACACCTAAATGTTAGTCTACTTTTCTCATTCATGAGTCATTGTGTTTTGTATCTGAGACCCTCAGCATTCTTCCCTTCTCGTAAATGATTTTCATGTTTTGGTTTAGTGTATCCCTTATTATTTCTGTATTGTTAGGTTCACCGGCAGTGATAGAAAAATCGAAATCTCCAATTGCAAACAGCAGTAGATTTGAGTATTGAAACAAAATCATGGTAACATCACTGCTGAGTTTCCTGAAGCCTTTGCAACCTAATTCCTCATTACCTCTCACACCTTGCTTCTAGACAAAGGCAATTGGAGGGGTCCTATCTATCCTAATATGGTTGGAATCTAAATATATGCGTTTCCATTATTTTGGGAACTGATTATTTTTTTAAAGATTTTTTTTTCTTTTGTTGATGAGTTATTTTGATACTCATGCTAGGAAAAGTGAGAAACTAAGACATCTTGAGATTGGAATGCCTATTTTATTCTCCTGGGTTTGGGAGAATTTAAGCAGTCTATGCAACCCATCAGTTAGTGAGAAATAGTTTTCCACCATCCCCTACTGAGCTTTCAAGGACTCATACCTCCCCAAATGCATTGGCGTTGATTGAGTTTTGGATCTTGATGGTTTAAGAAGCATTCTTGTTGCACCAAGCTGTCATTTATTTCCTTCTCCCTCAGTGGATGTAAGTTTGAAAGAAGAATGGTACTATAATCTTATTTGATGGAGTGGTCTAAATTCAGTATTTTTTCTCTGTGTTTTAATATTGCAAAAGTTTTTAACATGACCTTGGCAATGGAAAGGAGAGGGAAAGAATGTTGAATAAAAATCATTGTCTACTCTTTCCCTTTAAGAGTGTGTATTCCTGGTTGTATGAAGAGAATACTCATGGGTTTGTGTTGCCATGCTAAATGTGGAGAGGGATGCTTGACAGCATGCTAATTGAAGCCAGAGCAAGTGTGTCTCTCTCTCATCAGGTGACCTGGAGATGCCAGTGGAAGCAGAGGAAGTTATTAGCTGTTGGCCGTAATGAAATAACTTACAAAGTAGAAGTGCTGTCTGGCCTAAAAATGGAAAGAAAATAGTAACTGTAGGTGTAACTTAGGGTTCTGAACTTGGAACTGACCTATATTACCGTACTTTCCACACATAAAACTGTCCACTTTCTTATCAGACCAAAGAACAAAAAGAAAAAGTAAAATGAAAAACAAAGTAACACACTTTACCAGTTTATGTCACTCAGGTACAATTTTATCGTGAGCTTTTTGTTGTTGTTGTTTTTTTTTTTTTTTGTCTGATTTTTGTACTGCTCAGCATATTATTCTGCTGTTGCCTCTGTCCTCCGTGGGGCACCTCAGTTTTGGGTGCTACTCCTGGGATCTCTACTGCTGTTAGGTGAATGACGATAGGATGTAAGTGACCATTATCATAAGGGCTCTTTGTAAAAAACTTTAAAATCTCAAAAAAATTTTTTTGAAGAAGGATATTGTATACATTTTATAGTCTGGCTATCAGTTTGATATCTTGCTGTCAAGTATGTTTCTCAATCTGTATTTATCCATCCCATCAATAAACGTTAATAATGAAACACCTGATTGTTGTTTGTATGTGCCATGTCCTTAAATTAGTCTTTGGCTTACTTTGTTGAATCATCGCCTTGGTTATGACAGTATTAAGTTCCTATCACACAGTATCCTAGGACAGTTAGTCCATTGGGAGAACTAAGATATATCTACAATAAACCTGGTGTTGTAAAGCAGGGAAAACTTTATTATACTGTTGCATGAGTACTTGGAAGGGTAAAAAAAATGATAGCTTTACAATGATAGCAACACAAAAGCACTCATCTAGCAAGCATCAAGATAAAATTCAGGATTGTATCTTTGCAAAGCTGTGCTATTAAGATAGCCACAATGATGTCTTTGGTAGTATGTTTTTGTTCAAGACAGTTTCACTATGTAGCCCAGCTGGCCTCAAATGGCATCCTCTTGCTACACCCAAGATTATGAGTGCTGAGATGATTATTGGCATTTACTACCACATCTGATAGAATTTCATTTTGAAGAAGAAAAATTAGATTGTTAGTACTACATATGGTAGATTTTACATGTTAAATGCTTACAGGAAAAGAACTGCACAGTTAGGATTACCAGTAGCTTAAGATCTTTAAGGCTGGGCAATGGTGGCATGCATCTTTAATCTCAGCACTTGGGAGGTAGAGGCAGGCAGATCTCTGAGTTCGAGGCCATCCTGCTTTACAGAGCGTGTTCCAGGACTGTTGCTGGATTTTTCTTTCCTGCCTATTTGGTCCCACCACTCTTCTCAGTCCCAAATAAACATACAGATGCTATATTAATTATAAAGCTGGTGACCAATGATTAGGGCTTCTTATTAACTAGCTCTGTCTTAATCTGTTTCCACGTGGTATTATCTTACCTGAGAAGGGTCCAGAACTCTTTCTCCTTTATGATCTACATTGTGACTCTGGTGGGCCCCATCTGCCTACCTTTCCCAGAATTTTTGTCTCCTAGTTCCACCTATCTTCCTGCCTTAATGCCCAACAGTGTTTTATTCATCAACTAATAAAAGAAATATATATATATGAGAAAATCCCCCATCACAGGGCTACAGAAGATCTTTAAAAGGGGGCTGATAAGATGGTCTAGTGGGTAAGTGCCAAGCCTCACAGTCCCTGGGCTCTGCATGGTAGGAGAAAATTGATTCCTACTGGTTACCCTTTAACTTCCACACATGCTTCTCCACACCCAAATAAATATAATAAAAATTAAAAGGAAAAGGACACTAAAATGATTTATTTTTATTTCAAGCACATTAGTGTTTTACCTGCATGTATGTCTGTGGAAGGTGTCAAATCCTCTGAAACTGGAGTTAGAAACAGTTGTGAGCCACCATGTGGGAGCTGGGAATAGAGCTCTGATCCTCTGGAAGAACAGCCAGTGCTCTTAACTGCTGAGCCAGCTCTCCAGCCCTATGAAAAAAGGACACTTAAAAAAAAATTGTAGCCGGGCGTTGGTGGCGCACGCCTTTAATCCCAGCACTCCGGAGGCAGAGGCAGGTGGATCTCTGTGAGTTCGAGACCAGCTTGGTCTACAGAGCGAGTTCCAGGACAGCCTCCAAAGCCACAGAGAAACCCTGTCTCGAAAAACCAAAAAAAAAAAAAAAAAAAAAATTGTAGGTTCTGGTCATTCCCTCTGTTTTCTTTATTTTGGGTAAAGGAAGGGACACGAGAGGACAGTCTCAACAATTTAGGTAAGGGTGGCTTCAAAAGTGCTAAAAGTAATGAGAATTGTAAATACATAATGAAGATAGGGTCAGTGGAATTTGCTGTAAAATAGGAGTGAGGTCAAGTATGACTCCCATGTTTGACTTGACCAACTGGGAGGGCAGAGTTAACTGTATGGAAACAGGAACAGGAAATTGTCCTTAACATTAAGTTTGAGATTTCATGTAGACATTCCATGGGGAGGTCTACTGGACAGATGGGTATAGACTGTGCCATTCAAAGCAAGGGTTCAGGATAGTGGTAGCATGCATGGGAGCCATCGGTTTATGAATGGGATAAAACATAACAAGAGAGAAAAGTATTCAGCGTTCAAAACTTGGGGTGTGGAGGGATGATGAACAAGAGACTCAAATGACAACAAGAATAGGTTACTGAGGAAAAGGAACTAGAGTATAGAGATCTAGAAAATGTTTTAAGAAAGAAGGCTCAGTGGTAAAGTGCTCCGTGTGCAAACATGAGGACCTGAGTTTGCATCTCCAACACCTGCAAATGTCATTTGAATTAACAGGGTGAGTGGTTATCAGTTTGCTGTGGGGAGAATTCTACTTGGAGAAGATTCAAAAGGGTATAAGAGCTGGGAATGATGAAACACGTAACCTCAGCACTAAAGAGATTGAGGCAGAATACCTGTTTGAGGCTAGACTGGTCTGTATATGGAGATCCTGTCTTAGGTACAGCAATAGAGGAGTTAGCCTGAAGAAGTGGTAAGGTAAACCTTTCGTTACTTTTTACTCATTTATTATTATTATTTATTTGTTTTGTTTTTGAGACAGGGTTTCTTTGTATCGTTTTGGAGCCTGTCCTGGAACTTGCTCTGTAGACCACTCGGGCCTCGAACTCACAGAGATCCGCTTGCCTCTGCCTCTCGAGTATTGGGATTGAAGGCGTGCGCCACCAACGCCTGGCTTTCGTTACTTTTTAAATTGCAGCACGTACATATGCTTTCAGAAGATTCAGAAAACAGATGTGGGGCTTTAAGTGAATGTGATGAGAGCTCATCAAAGTCCAAAGGAAGGGTCCAGGCTTGCAGTCCTCATCTGGGTGATACCAGTTTAGGGACGAAAAAGGCACAACGCAATAAGAGCTACCTGGTGGAAAAGATTGTAAGATGCTCAGGACTTAGAAGCTGGGGAGCTGGTTCAGTGGGTAAGTGGTGAGCAGCTGAGTTATCATGTCTGTTTGATATTTCTACATTTGGTTGCAGATTCTCTTTACGATCAACTCCACCTGTAATCTCGCGTGCTCTTTGGTTCACGGCTAAACCTTATGTGCAGGAATCAGACAGCAGACACAGAAGGCTAGAGTACAAACAGTACAGACGGAATAAACTAAGACAGGAAGAATGTCTGGAGAGCGCAGCCTTTGGACAGGTGTGGCTGGAGTATGTAACGGGTCACGAAGCCGGAATAGCCTGCCATCTCTATAAAGCACGAAGTTACAGAGGATGTTAGAGAAGCAGGGTCTACACCAGAACTCATTTTAACTTCAGTCACCTCACCCGTAAAACGGAGAAAATAATTTCTACTCCTCAGAGCTGTTACAAAAAAAAATGTTCGCGTGTTCCACATGAAATGACCAGATCGTGAGTAGAACCGCTCACAATAGAAAACTAGTAAAGCCTTTTCATGTATAAACAGGGCCAGCCACCGTCCAATTTTCTACCTGCCGTGCAGGGACGGTAACGAGGTAGGTGCCTAGGAGCACCGGAGCCCAAGGCCTTCGGAAAAAGAACCACATTGAGAAAATATCCGGACCTGGCGACAGGCTGGGCCCGCCTTTCCGATGAGCCACTCACGGGCCGAGTTTCTGACAGACAGTTCACCTCAGCCACTTCCGTTGCGTAGTTTTTACTGTCCCGCCCCCTCAACTGATGTGTTGGCCTTGACCAATAGAAGCGCATCACCGGCGGAACAGCGGCCAATCAGTGTTTAGGGCCCCTAGGGCCGCGCTCCGAGCGGCCAGAGCGGCCAGAGGGCGAGCTGCGCGGCGCAGCGCGGCGGGGAGGTAAGATGGCGCCGTGCTTGGCGCTTCCCCTTCGCTGCTGTTAGGTTTGCTGCTCGCCCTTTCCGTCAGGTCAGCGCGGCACTTCGTCTCCTGCGGCGTCGGGGGTCACTCTTGACGGCTGAACTTTGGGGAATCGGGTTCTCCGGTGGCCGGGAGCCGTAGGACAAGATGGCGCTCGCAGGACGCCTCGGCTCTGCGGGCCGGGAGCTCCGAGGCGGCCGGGGACAAAGGCGGCGGCGTGCTGGCGCATGGGGGCGGGGCGCGCCGTTGGCTGCGGGGGTCCCGCGTGGGACTGGCGCCGCGCTTCCGGTCTGCTGTTGTGGGCGTTCGGCCAACGTGGTGGGGGTCAGAGCGGCTAGCGGGTCTGCAGGAGGGTAGGGCGGGTGGTTAGCCGCCGGTCGCCCCGCGGAAGAACGCAGACAAGGACTTTGGGCGAGGTTAAGGCCATTTTGGTCTTTTGTGTGACATGCCTTTCCCCTTCACCTCCCGCCCTTTGCAGGTTTTGGTATGAACAGGATTCGGATTCACGTCTTGCCAACGAATCGGGGGAGGATCACCCCAGTGCCCAGATCACAGGAGCCCCTTTCTTGTTCGTTCACTCACCGCCCATGCTCTCAACCGCGTCTGGAGGGGCAGGAGTTTTGCATCAAGCATATCCTTGAAGACAAGAATGCACCCTTCAAACAATGTAGTTACATATCGACGAAGAATGGAAAACGGTGTCCCAGTGCTGCCCCCAAGCCTGAGAAGAAAGATGGGTATGTGTAGATGTGTGTGCGTGCGCGCGTGCATTGGTGTTTTGCCCGCACGTGTGTCTGCGTGAGGGCTTCAGATCCCCTGGAGCTGCAGTTAGAGACAGTTGGGAGCCGCCATGTGGGTTCCCTGGAAGAACAGCCAGTGCTCTTGACCGCTGAGCCATCTACCTCTCCAATCCTAGGTTTTTATTTTGACTGCGTTTTGAAGCATTTATTTGCAGTTCTTTGTAGTGTGTTGTGGGTGTGGGCTTTCGTGTCACGGCACATGTGCGCGGAGGTCAGAGGACAGTTTGCTGGAGTCCTTTCTTCTACTTGGTGGGAACCGAGATAGAAGGTAGTTAAGATTGACCTGTAGAGTCACCGGACCGGCCTCTGTCGCTTTTCTTTTTTTAAAGACAGTCTCCCTCAATGCCGGAATTCCTCGTATGGACCAGGCTGGCTTGTAACACTTTGGGCAACCCTTTGCAATTTTTTTGTTTTGATGTTCGAGACAGGCTTTCTCTGTAGCTTTGGAGCCTGTCCTGGCACTCACTCTGTAGACCAGGCTGGCCTTTACAACATGAAAAAAATTTTATATGTATGGGTGTATGTTTGTGTACCACGTGTACCACGTTCATGTTTGACGACAGCAAAGGCCAGAAGAAGGCATTGGGTTTTCTGGAACTGGGATTACAGATGGTTGTTAGGAATCAAACCCAGATCCTCTAGGAAGATCAGCCATTGCTCTTAACACTGAGCCTTCTCTTCAGCTGGATCTTGGCAACCTTTTGCCCTTGAGAGTGTTGGGGATTATAGGTATGGACCAAGCCCTGGTCCCCTGCCCCTCTGCCTTCCTTGTTTCCCCCCAGACAGGGTCTGTCCTGGAATTCACTATGTGGATCATGCTGTCCTGGACCGTAAAGCACTCCTGAGTGCTAGGGTGCACCACCCTGCCTGTCCCCTCCTTCAGTTTTAAAACGAAAGAGGAACATATGTAGACGTGGTCATATCTGTGGAGGGTTAAGGATTTATTCTTTGGGAGGGGCATTAAAATGATCAGAACTGAAGCTGGGAGGTGGTGGCTCACACCTTTAATCCCAGCACTAGGAGACAGAGGCAGGCGGATCTCTGAGTTCCAGGACAGTCTGGTTTACAGAGTGAGTTCCAGGACAGGCATGGCTGTCACAGGAAGAAACTCTGTCTGAAACATCCTCCCCAAAGGTGAGAACTGGAAGAACACCTGAGGCAGGGGCATTTTTTTTTTTTTTGAGACAGGTTCTGACTGGTTCAGACTAATTTGGAACTCCTAATCTCCTGCCTCTGGGATTACTGTCTGCACAATCATACTCAGCTTTAAATAAAAAACAAAAACATTTATTACGTGTTTGTACGTGCTACCACACACATGCTAGCACACACGTGTGGTCAGAGGACAGCTTTCGAGTTGGTTCTTCTTCTGCCTTGTGGGTTGGGATAGAGCTTAAGGGGCCAGGCTTTGGCAATAGGTGTTTTTGTTTGCCAAATCATTGAATTGGCTCTCTTAAGTTAATTCTTAATGCTGGAGTGCTGACTCACTTGCTCAGCCTTGTTCCTTGTTAAATAATAGGCAGAGTGTATACCTGTCTGTTTTGGAAGGGGCTTATAGCTTTTATCATATACGCTTACCTGTACAGGAATATGACATTACTAGATAATTTGTATGCATCTTTTAATTTTAAAACCGAACCACATCTGTCTACAGTGAGTTGTAAAATGTGTTTCCAGAAGTAGCTTTGAAAAATAAAAGCATCTCTGATTTTTCTGTGAGATACTGTTAATAATTTTATGGTTAGACTGTTTTGTCTGATGACTTGAACCCTGGTTAAGCTACTTGCATTTCCCTTTAATAACAACTCCTGTGGGCTGGGGATAGCATAGTGTTAGAGCCCTTCCATGCATGGGGCTCTGGGTTTGACTGAGCATTTCACATACCACACTAAGCAGAAACAAAACCCTGGGTGGGTTGACTTGGGGCAGTCAAATTTCTGGTCCAAATGAGACAGCATCTTGTTATGTAGTCCTGGCTGTCTGGTAACTCACTCTGTAGACCAGGCTAACCTTGAACTTGGAGATCCGCCTGCCTTTGCCTTCTGAGCCTTAGGATTAAAGGCATGCACCACCACCCCTGGCTTTCACACTGGTCTTCAAGGTGTGAATATAATAAACATTTTAAATTTCCTAAAGACAAAAAATTATTTGGTGACTGAATATTGCTGACTCCTTTCAAGAGAGAACTAATTAAATATTAATGCTTTGTCTCCTTAGGGTGTCTTTCTGTGCCGAACATGCTCGAAGGAATGCCCTAGCACTTCATGCTCAAATGAAGAAGAACAATCCAGGCCCTATGGGTGAAACCCTCTTGTGCCAGTTGAGCTCATATGCGAAAACAGAGCTGGGCTCTCAGACCCCAGAGAGCAGTCGAAGCGAAGCTAGCCGGATACTGGGTAAGGATGTCAGGGTCTCCTGAAGGTGTCAAAAAGGAAGAAGCTAAAGAACGAACTTGGTTTAGTTCAAGGCTTTGTGCATTTGTGATTGTTACTGGGAATTTGGTGAGAATTCCAGGGTTGTTATTGCAATTGCTAGTTAGTTGTTTTGCATTTAGAGTTGTTTAGATATATTCTCCTGATCTGGTGACCTTTCTTTCTGTTAAATTTTTAAAAAGTTAAAAATTGTGAATTCTAAGGTTTCAGGTTGATCTCTTAAGTAATGTAGCTTCATGTGTGGAGTTACAGAGATGGGGGTCTTAATGGCTGCTCTCCCTTCCTCAGATGAAGACAGCTGGAGTGATGGGGACCAGGAACCCATTACTGTGGATCAGACATGGAGAGGTGACCCTGACAGTGAAGCTGATAGCATAGACAGTGATCAAGAAGATCCCCTAAAGTAAGTTGTAACTCCACCTAAGGCTTTTATGTATTTTATGTAGTTAGTATGTAAAATGTAGTGTGGTTAATTAATACAGGTGGGTTTAAGTGTCATGGTTCAACACCATCTTGCTCCAAGGCAAGATTTCTGATTCTTTTGTGGAAGTCTTGGACTGAGTTATGCCCATGAGATGTTACAGGGAAGAGATACCTTGACATAGGAATGGGAGGGAGACAGAGAGGCACTGGCTGGCTAGAGAAGAGAAAATGGGTTTAAATATGTGCTTGCCATACATCTCAGAAATAATGACTAATTATACTTGGATACCTGCTACAAAAATTCTATGGTTCTGACTTTTTACATGGGAAATAAAAGTATCCTGTAATTTGTTTTGGTTTCATGTCTAATGGAAGGAAAACTGATTTAGAAAAATATGTTAAGGTCTGCTGTAACCCCTGGTTATCTTAAGAGTTGTAGAAATATTGAACATTGCCACTGAAATCTCTAATAATTTTTTGAGACAGTATCTCATTATGTATCTCTGATTGGCTCAGGCTTCTGTTTCCTCTAGTATAAGTTTTTGAATCATCTTAGCAGTTAGACAATATTTGTCTTCAATTATGTATTGCAGAAGAGTACATATACATTATATATATTGTTGTGTTCCATCCCATCACGGTCCCCAAGACAGAGTTTCTTTATAACAATCCTGGCTATCCTGGAACTCATTTTGTAAGCCAGGCTGGCCTCAAACTAACCAAAATCCACCTGCTTCTGCTTCCCAAGTGTTGGGATTAAAGGTGTGCACCACCACTGCCTGGTTTATGCGCTGCCACCACCCAGCTATATATTGCTTTTTTGAAGACAGGGTTTCTCCGAGTTGCCCTGGCTGCCCTGGAATTCATTCTGTAGACCAGGCTGGCTAGGAAATCAGTACTGGATTTAAAGCAGTGTATGTGCCACAATTGCTGGGTAGGTATTTATATTGTTGTTGATTACACTTAATATACTCTAGTAACTAATTTTTTCACATTATAGTTTTATAGATGAGATTTTTTTACTCCAAAGTAGCCATTAAATTGCTTTGTAAAACATAATCTTTTTTTTTTTTTTTTGGTTTTTCGAGACAGGGTTTCTCTGTGGCTTTGGAGGCTATCAGTCCAGCCCGGCCTCGAACTCACAGAGATCCACCTGCCTCTGCCTCCTGAGTGCTGGGATTAAAGGCATGCGCCACCACCGCCCGGCTGTAAAACATAATCTTAACAATTTCATTTTAACACTTATTTACAAGATTTATACCATTTTAGCCAAAGCATAATGATTAAGTCTTGTTTCCTTTTAAATTTTGATTTCCTTGCTATTGTTTATATTCTCGCCTGGGAGAGTGAAAAATATTTTCCTAATACATGTTTTTAGTTTTGGATTTTTGAGGCAGGGTCTACCTAATCAGCCCTGATTGACCTCAGATTTAAGCATTCGTTTTGCCTGAGCCTGCTGAGTTCTGGGATGACAGGCGTGCATTACCATGCCTGGTTTAACTATTTTAATAAACTTGTTATTAGGTTAGTGTTTTCCATGACTTACTAATGCAGGCATAGCGTATTACCTTGTTTAGATAGGAAGAATTACTTTTACTCTTTTTTAAAATAAAGGGTTTGCATATGTGTTTTGCCTCTATGTGTTGTGTGCCACACATGTGTCTGATTCCCATAAGATCAGAAGAGGCCATTGAGTACGCTGGAACCAGAGTACTGCATGATGGGGACTGAACCCTCTGTAACAAGTGGTCTTAACCCCCAAGCCGTCTCTCATCATTCTTGTAAGACAGTGTCTGTGTCTTACAAGAACGACTGACGTTGAACGTATGAACCTCCTGCCTGGGCCTCACGAGGGATAGAGTTTCAGGTGTGTGCCGCCACACTTGGCTGGTCTTAATTTTTCTTCATTTCTGTTTACTTGACTTTCTTTGATGTTAACTACTTTTCTAAATATACGTGTATATTGACTTCAGTTTAAAATTTTTGGCAAATCTGCTTCCAGTCCTGAAGTAAATTTTTTTCTATATTCTGTATATTTCAGAATATAAGAAAAATTGTTTTGAGACCCAGTCTCAGGTATCTCAGACTGTCCTCAACAGGCTATGTAGCTTAGGATGACCTTAAACTTCTCATCTGATTATAGGAATGTATCAGCCATACTTTATATATGTACTTTTTTTTTTTATTGAGCCAAGGTCTCTACCCCTGGCTCTCCTGGAACTCACAGTGTAGACCAGGCTGGCTTCAAAGTCACAAGAGATCAACCTGCCTCTATCCTCCCAGCACTTGGGATTAAAAGTGTGCCTCAGCATGCCTGGCCACACTTTTTTTTAACAGAGAATGTCTTTTATGTACCAGAGGTATCTCAAACTTAGCCATCCTCCTGAATGCTGGGATTTGTGAATGCATAGACATATGCCATCTATGCTCAGATCTAGTGGCATTTTCTTTTTTGAGATTTTACTATTTTTAATTTTTATGTGTATGAGTGTTTTGAGTATGACTGTGTACCACTTGTGTACAGTGCCCGAGTTAACCAAAAGAGGGCATCTGATCACCTGGGACTGTACTTACTGTAAGAGCAAGGTAAACTGGAGAGGATGGAGCTAACTCCATCCTCAGAAAAAGCCACCCTGAGAAATTCCCTGCATGGCACAAGGCTGATTTCAGCTCCAGGCAAGGAACCATAAACAGTTCCAAGGAGCACCCAAACTGTACCCACCCCGGACAAAGTGACCTCATCCAGGTGGTCAGACAATGACTACTAATTTTGGCAAATAGCATCTTCTCGCCACAACTGTCCTTGTGGGCAACCGTTAGTAACAATTTTGAAATTCCTCTAGCCCACACGTCAATGAATCCAAAGGTCACCTACTCTTTCCCAATCCTGAACAGCCAAGGCATATGTACCACCCTGCTTGCAGTTTTTTTCCTTTAAAAAATCCCTTGCAATTGAGGCCAGACACCCTTTTCCTGCAGCTGCTGTGCAAGTTTACTGGACAGGGTCCCTGCCGAGGCTTGTAACTTAACATTAAACCTTGTGCATTTACATCAGTTAGTTGGCTCCTTGGTGGTCTTTATTGGAGTCTCACGAACTTGGCGTAACACCAGTATTCTATCTTCAAGCTGTATCGCTTGGACCATCTTTGAAGGCCAAAAAGTCTTCAGTATAAGATTGTATTTAAAGGAAAATTAGAACACATATGGTTATTAAATATTTTTGTGTTTGCCTAAATGTGTATCTATGTACATGGAGGCTCAAAAAGGGTGCTGGACCCTCTGAACTGGAGTAAGAATTATGAACTGTGAGTCCTGGGAATTAAACCCAGGAGCCCTGAACCATCTTCAGCCCCTGGTATATTTTGTAATTAAAATACTAAGTTGTTCTGACCAGGCGTTTTCTGTTCAATTACTGTATAAAAAAGATTGTAGATTAGTTAGTAAAATTTTCATGTTGCACATCTTTATGTACATAAATAATGAGATCTCCCTTCCTGTTCCACTTTGTGTGATAACCCATTGGTATCCTTTTGTGGAGAGACCACCCTCCCTTGAGTCTCTTCTTACAAAGAATGTGTTCACATCCCAGCACCCACGTGGGACATTTACCGTCACTTCTGATTGTAGGTCCCAAACTCATGGTGGGGGAAAGACTGGATCATTGTGGGTTTTTTGTTGGTTTATTTGTTTTTAGTGCTGAAGACAGAACTAAGTACTTTGCCACTGAGCTATATTATACCGCCACTCTTTTTATTTTTAATATCTTAGTAAAATGCTGTTTGAAAAATATTCCCATTTAAAAAGATATATCAGTTAGCATTGACCTTGTTAAATACAAATTGAGTCTTTTTAGAGTTTGAATGTGTTTTTTTTTTTTTTGTGATAGTTTTATATCTCGGTTGACCTTGAATTTGCTACACAGTCAGGCAAGCTTTGAGCGCCTGGTCTTTGTGTCTCCACCTTCTAGGTGCTGTGATTGTAGGCGTGCGTCCTGTTTCTTTAATGTCTTGCTGAATTTATTGTTTTCTTCTAGACATGCTGGTGTCTACACAGCTGAAGAAGTGGCTCTTATTATGAGAGAAAAGCTAATTCGTTTGCAGTCTTTGTACATTGATCAGTTTAAACGACTACAGCACCTACTCAAAGAGAAGAAGCGCCGTTACTTACACAATCGAAAAGTGGAACATGAAGCTTTAGGCAAGTTTGATGTAGTTGAATCTGACTATCGTGTAGTCAGTGTGTCCCTGTTTACCTAAATTTGGAAAAGCATCCTTGGTTACTAGTTACACCCTAACTGTTTTTAGTGGTGAATATGTAGTAAGTATCCCAGTACTTGAGAAACTGAGCATAGGGAGTTTGCCGTGAATTCAAGACCAGATAGACTGATGTCCTGTTTCAAAAATTTGAATTTTTGTGATTTTAGGTAGTAGTCTCCTGACAGGCCCAGAGGGACTTTTAGCCAAAGAAAGAGAGAATTTAAAGCGACTAAAATGTCTTAGGCGATATCGTCAACGCTATGGAGTAGAAGCCTTACTGCATAGGCAGTTGAAGGAACGGAGAATGCTGGCCACAGATGGGGCTGCGCAACAGGTAACTTGCTCATGTATCTCTAGGTGTTGATAGAGTTATCATGAAACACTGTCCAAGCCAGGCAGTGGTGGCACACGTCTTTAATCCCAGCACTCTGGAGGCAGAGGCAGGCGGATCTCTGAGTTCAAGGAGGCTAGCCTGGTCTCCAGAGTGAGTTCCAGAGAATCTGTCTTGAAAAACCAAAACAAACAAAAATGTTAAAAAAATGATTTGAAAGAATAGTACCAGTTGGAGGCCGGGCGGTGGTGGCACACGCCTTTAATCCCAGCACTCGGGAGGCAGAGGCAGGCGGATCTCTGTTTGTTCGAGGCCAGCCTGGTCTACAGAGCGAGCTCCAGGACAGCCTCCAAAGCCACAGAGAAACCCTGTCTCAAAAAACCAAAAAAAAAAAAAAAAAAGAATAGTACTAGTTAAGTTAAAAAATAAATAAATTGAAATAATAGTACCAGTTAAACGTCAAGAAAATAAGGTTGACAGAGAGTAACATGATCGTTCTTTGTATTTGTTGAAGCCTAGCATAACTTTGCTTGTGTGACTGAAAAATTGACAGATGTGCTGGGATTAAGGGTGTGTGCCACCACCGTCTGGCTATAGTTCTGTATTTAATATTTGCAGATGTAGGTTGACTATAGGTTAAGGGACAGATTACTTTATCACGCTTTTACAGAGGTATATTCTTTATACATGAAGTTTCGTTGTTGCAGCATTGGTGAATGGGTTTGTTACATGTTGCATTTTCTACCTTGTATGAATTAACTTTGCTTTTTAAACTGAATAATATCACAATGTATGCTTCCTGTGTAGGCTTATTTGTACTTGTTTTCTCAATTTTAGGCTCATACCACTCGTTCCAGTCAGAGGTGCTTAGCTTTTGTGGACGATGTTCGTTGCTCGAATCAGTCTCTTCCAATGACCAGACACTGCCTTACCCGTATCTTTTAAAACTGTTTGTTTAGGTTCTGATTTTCTGGTTATGACAGGCTAGTAGTGGTGTTGGTCAGCTTAATTGAAGATTTTGTTTACTTTGGCCCTGAATCAAGGCCAGCAGTGTGTTGAAGCTGTTGGTTTCAAGCAGGTGCCTAAATAAATGTCTTTCTATGGTCTGTTGGCCATTTTAGGAATTTAAAAATGTTATGGTCAATTCATTAGAAAGAAACATCTGAGTGGGGTGGTGGTGGCCCATGCCTGTAATCCCAGCACTCGGGTTACAGAGGCAGGTGGATCTCTGTGAGTTCCAGGACAGTCAAGGTTACACAGAAACCCTGTTTCAGGGAAACACACACACACACACACACACACACACACAACAATTCAACATCTGGCTTAATGTGATACCCAGCTTTGTAATTGTAGCGCTTGGCTAGCTACAGAGGCCAGCTAGGCCAGAGAATTGGGAGTTTGCCACCTCCCTGGGTCACAGCAAAAATCCTATCTGGGATAGATGAAGGGGAAGTGGGGAGCCGAAAAAAACAGCTGAGCCATTGATAACCGATGAGTGTGGCTGCCAGTATTAATGACATTCCAAGGTTTCTATATAATACTCTTACGTTATTCATTTAGCTTTTGTTCATTAAGCTAACTCTGTTACCAAGAAAAAGAGATTGCTGTGGGTTTTCTGCCCAGAACATTATTCTGTACTGTGAACTATGCAGTAATGTCCTTTTGTATGGTTAGTGCCCTAACTTGTATGTTTTTAACTTATTCAAATTAGAAACGTTCAAAAAATGGGCTCTCTCCCCCTCCTCCCTTCTTCCTAATTTGCAAATTTAAGCCATTAACATCATATGCAGAACTGCATTGCTGATGGGCTACAAAACCTGTGGTGACCTGTATGGGAGGGGGGCACAGAACCTTCTGCTGGTCTTGTCTTTGACAGGAAAGGGTTGTTTTTATTTTTGTTTTTTTCCTTCCCTTAATGAACTATTTGAAGTTGAATTTTACACTAATGTCTGAATGGCTTGTCTTTTTAACCTCAGTACTGGGACTGCAGGTGTGCACTACCACACCTTATTTAGAGCTACTGCTGTTAGAGTGTAAATGCTTATGCAAAGTACTGAGCTCTATCAATGACTGCTTAAAACATAATTGGGCTAGGTAAAGGCCAGGAAACTGCAAAGAACCTCTGTATGGGATGGAGGTTGAAGGGATTTTAAGGGAGGGAATTAGCCTATAGAACATAGGAGATATTAAAGTAGAGAGTGCAGGTGTGAGAAGGAGTGGTGGGTGAGGAGGGTGGGGATGGAAATCACCTAAAACAAGCTATGAAAATACTTAAGGAAACCTGTTGCTTTGTAAGCTAATTAAAAAATAAACAGCAAAACAGAACCTTTTTGCTGGGCATGGTGGCGCATGCCTTTAATTCCAGGCAGAGGCTGGCAGAGTTTGAGGCCAGACTGGTCTAGTGAGTGCCAGGGCTATGTAAAGAGACCCTGTGTCAACAAGCAACCTTTTAAATATTTACTGTAAAAGTTTTTTTTTGAAATGAAGCAGGCACAGTGGTTCATGGCTATAACCTCAGCACTTCAGAGATAATGGTGGGAAGATCAGTAGTAGCAAATATATTGTGCTATTAGGAACAGTGTTTCTGCAGACTTAGCCTATTTAAGAGCAGAAACAGCACTATGTCTTGGAAGAGGTTGGTAGGCGCTTCTGTATCAAGATGTTTTTCTCTGTCTTGTGTATGTTCCCTAGCACTGCCACAGCGGGGGCTTAGTGCCTTTAGTTTAGCTGTCCAGAATCCTGGAAAAGAGATGCAGGATGAATTATAAATTATTGACAAGCCGGGCGGTGGTGGCATACGCCTTTAATCCCGGCACTTGGGAAGCAGAGGCAGGGGGATCTCTGTGAGTTCGAGGCCAGCTTGGTCTACAGAGTGAGTTCCAGGACAGTCTCCAAATGAATACAGAGAAACCCTGTCTTGAAAAACAAAACAAAAAACAAACAAACAAAAAAAATTGACAGGTCTAGATGTGCTGCAAAATGATACTTATTAGAGAACTAAAGTACAGTTCTCCGAGTAGGGGTGTGTTCGTGACGTGGCAGACTCCTGGACTGTGGCACCTGCAGTGGATTGGTCTGTTTCCTTAACTGTCTCTGCAGATATTTGCCAGGACACAAATCAGGTTCTCTTCAAATGCTGCCAGGGGTCTGAAGAGGTACCCTGCAACAAACCTGTTCCTGTAAGCCTTTCTGAGGACCCCTGCTGTCCACTGCATTTCCAGTTGCCTCCTCAGATGTATAAGCCCGAGCAGGTACTGTCTGTGCCAGACGATCTGGAAGCCGGCCCCATGGATCTGTACTTGAGTGCTGCCGAGCTTCAGCCCACTGAGAGTTTACCACTGGAGTTCAGTGATGTAAGTTAGAGAAGCTCTGCTCTGATTGGTCCTTGAAAGAAGGCCCTCTTTATTAGTGGTGAGAATAGTTAGCGGTTTTCAGCCAAGAGGATGGATAAAGCTTTTGACATGATACAAATGTGTTTGTTACTGTATTTATTAGATATTTTCTGTTCCACCTTTTCTTCTCCCCAGACTTTTCTTGTGAGATAGGGCCTCACTATGTAGCCTGAGTTGAGTCTGAACTTATGATCCTTTATGTCTGTCCCCTAGATGTTGGTGTTAGAGGCATGTACCATCCAGGCCTGGCCTCCTGTATTACTTGGGATGTGATTGGAAGTGTGTGATTCAGTGATTTTTTTTTTCTTAAGGTATTCATGTGCAGGCAGCTATCAATACTATCTGAGGAGGTTTTTGCCACCTCAGAAGGAAACATAATACCTGTTAATACTTACTGTTGATTTGTTTTTTGTTTGTTTTGTTTTTCAAGAGAGGGTTTTTCTGGGTAGTCCCAACTTTCAATTTGTAGACCAGTCAATCTGGCCTCGAACTCACAGAGATCCTCTGGCCTCTGCCTCCCTTGTTTAATACTCACTTTTTGATATTTCCTTCCTGAGCCCTTACACTTGGAAGCACCTGCCAGCCACAAGAGAACTTCTCTCTTTTTCTTTTACCCTGTCTTTGAACTACCCTGTCTCAGCTTCTCAAGTGCTAGAATTAACAGGTATGGGTCACTACCATGCTTGACTCCTAAGTGTTCTTTTGTTGATGTATTTGCCAATGCTGGACATTTCAGTGAATTTTGTGTCTATGGCTTTTCTTAATCCCTTCTTAGTTTTTTAAAAAATTTATTTATTATGTATACAGTATTCTGTCTGCATGTATGTCTGCACACCAGAAGAGGGCACCAGATCTTATTACTAATTAATGGTTTTGAGCCACCATCTGGTTGCTGGGAATTGAACTCTGTCTGACCTCTTGAAGAGCAGGAGTGCTCTTAACCTCTGAGCCATCATCTCTCCTGCCCCATCCCCGCTTTGTTTTCTGAGACAGTATTTCTCCGTGTGGCTGTCCCTAACTGCCCTGGAACTCACTTCAGGCTGGCCTTGAACTCAGATCCTCCTGCCTCTGCCTTCCAAGTGCTTGGATTAAAAATGTATGCTACCACTGACTGGAGAATGCCTGTCTCACACCAGCAAACAAAAAGTACTTGCTGCTTATGGAGAGGACTTGGGGTTTGGTTCAAGCAGCCCAGCATCCGTATGGAGGCACACAGCACACACAAAATACACACACATAAATTAGAGCAAGGTTTTTTTTTTTTTGTTTTTTGTTTTTTTTGTTTTTTGTTTTCTTTTTAAAGACTGGGAGGGTTGCATTACTTTATATAGCTAGCATTGGCTGTCCTGGAATTTGCTATATAGACCAGGCTGGCCTCATCAAGAGATCTTCCTGTCTCTTCCTCTGTCTCGTGTCCTGGGCTTAAAGCCTGGCCCTGTGTGGTATTTTTGTTTTGTTTTGATTTTTGTTTTCTCTCTGGTTTTTGAGATGAATACAAAACAGGATTCTGTACTTCTTGTGATAGATTTTTTTTTTTTCCCAAGACAGGGTTTCTCTGTATTGTTTTGGAAGCTGTCCTGGAACTAGCTCTGCAGACCAGCCTGGTCTCGAACTCACAGAGATCCGCCTGCCTCTGCCTCCCGAGTGCTGGGATTAAAGGCGCCCGGCTGTTGTGATAGATTTTAAACATTCCTGTTCTGGTAGATAGACATTTTTGCTGACCCTTTTCAAAAAGAAGTTTTGTTTTTATTTATTTTATTTTATTTATTTTGGTTTTTTGTGACAGTGTTTCTCTGTGTAACAGTCCTGGAACTTTACTCTGTAGACCAGGCCGGCCTTGAACTCATTGAGATTCACCTGCCTCTATCTCCCAAGCGCTAGGATTAAAGGTGTGTGCCACCACTGCCCGGCAGAAGTTTTATTTGTTTGTTTGTTTGTTTATTTATTTGGTTTTTCGAGACAGGGTTTCTCTGTATTGTTTTGGAGACTGTCCTGGAACTGGCTCTGTAGACCAGGCTGGCCTCGAACTCACAGAGATCCGCCTGCCTCTGCCTCCCCGAGTGCTGGGATTAAAGGCGTGTGCCACCAACGCCCAGCCCAGAAGTTTTATTTTTAATTGACATATTTTATTACAAAATTTACTCAGTGTACAGACTTCACTTGGTTCAATTCTAATTTAATTTTTGATGCTGTTCTATATGGGATCTAAACATTTCTGTGTTTTTTGCTTGCTGCTTTAATGCTTTAATCCCAGCTTTGTACCTAAGATGACTAGCATTTGATTTTTTTTCTTCTTAAAAAATATTTATGTGTGTTTTGCTTCCATGTATGTATGTGCACTCTATGCATGCATGGCATGAGAGAGGCCTGAAGTTAAACAGGGTTGTGGGTCACCGTGTGATGCTGGTAATCAAACTTGGGTCTTCTACAAGAGTAATAAGTGCTCCTAATCACTGAGCCTGGATGGTTTCTTGTCTTCACAGAGCTAAGGGATTTAGAATGAAATCTCTTGAGATACTTGATGTGGCCATTGATGTATCATTGATATATTGATATGTGATATAAACTCTTCCCAAGAGAAATGGCCTTGCTTTTTTTTTTTTTTTTTTTGTGATTTTTGGAGACAGGGTTTCTCTGTGGCTTTGGAGGCTGTACTGGAACTAGGTCTTTGTAGACCAGGCTGGTCTCAAACTCACAGAGATCCCCTGCCTCTGCTTTCGAGTGCTGGGATTAAAGGCGTGTGCTACCAATGCTCTGCTTGGCTTTGCATTTTTAAAGCTCCTGTCTTCACTGCTTCCAGGGGATGAAGTTCCTGGGAAGGTTTGCCATATGTAGAAAACTACTTTTCTCCTTATGGTTTTGAGAGAGGTGATGCCAATTTGTTTTTGCTCTCAGAGTTAGGCAGTTTAGGTTGCAGTCTGTAAACCTCTTAGCCATAAATTTGGAGTGCTAATTTTAAGAGGAAAATGGGGTTACATTTTAACTACCTCCCTATATGACTCTTAGGAAATGAAGCCCTTTAGAGTCCTTTTTTTTTCTTTTTCTATTGTGATCTAGAGACTCAAAATATGTCTATTCCTCTCTGTTTTTAGTGACTTAACATACTCAGTGGTGGGGGAGATTGTAGAATAGAGGCCCTCTTTTCCAGAGAGTGGGCCTGGGGGCTGGGTTTTCCTTTTCTAATGTATGGAATAGTGCTCAGGGCGGGCTTTCTGCTTGAACTTGTCTGTTTTTCCTACCAACTCCTTAAAGATGTTTTCTAGTTGCCTGATGTACAAGAATCTCTTGCCAATTCCCTGGCATTCTCAGAGGGAACTGCTTTCACAAATAGACTTTACGTGTATTGTGTACCTATGGGTGGGAGAGCTGGGAACAATCCCAAACTTTAAAAAAGATTGCTAGAGGCCGGGTGTTGGTGGCGCACGCCTTTAATCCCAGCACTCGGGAGGCAGAGGCAGGCAGATCTCTGTAAGTTCGAGACCAGCCTGGACTACCAAGCAAGTTCCAGGATAGCCTCCAAAGCCACAGAGAAACCCTGTCTCGAAAAACCAAAAAAAAAAAAAAAAAAAAAAAAAAGATTGCTAGAAGCCGGGCGGTGGTGGCGCATGCCTTTAATCCCAGCAGAGGCAGGTGGAGGCTGGGCTGGTCCGACATCCTCCAAAACAATACAGAGAAACCCTGTCTTGTAAAACCAAAAAGAAAAAAAAAAAAGATTGCAGGAAACACAGTGTCCACAGTCTCAGTGGTGTAAGAGAGAACTTTGCTTTCTGTGAATAGCATAGATAGTTTCAGTACATCTGTAATGGATATTAGTAAAAGTGGCTGTGTTTCTGATTACACTGAGCAGTTTGTATAAATTGCTGTTGCTTTAAAGATATTTTAAAAGAATATAATGTGTGTCCCAGGCTGGTCTTGAACTCTGCTTACCTCCAGAATGTAGGGATTAAAGGTATGTGCACCCATGCTTGGTTTTTAAACTTTTTTTTTAAGATTTACCTGTTTTTGTTTTATTTGTATGGATGTTTTGCCGGCATTTATGTGCACCATGTCCATGTCTGGTGGCCTAAGATCAAAAGAGGTGTCAGATCTGGTTCTGGAGTTAACAGTTATGTGGAGTTCCATTTGGGTGCTTGCATTGAACCTGGGTTTTCTGGAAGAGCAGCATGTTCTTTTAACTGCTGAGCTATTTCTCCAGCCCCCAGTTGAATTATGTTTGACTTTTTGTTTATTTTAGATAAGGTCTTGCTATGTAGACCAGGCTGGCTTCAAACTCAGAGATCCACTTAACTTTGCTTCCTGATTGCTGGTATTAAACTTGTGAGCCACCACATCCAGCATTAGCTGTTAGATTTTTTTTTTAAAGTTTATTTTATTACATATACACTGTTCTACATGCCAGAAGAGGGCACCAGATTGAATTGTAGATGGTTGTGAGCCACCATGTGGTTGCTGGGAATTGAACTCAGGACCCCTGGAAGAGCAGTCAGCGATCTTAACCTCTGAGCCATCTCTCCAGCCCTAGCTGTTAGATTTTAGATTTAAGTTTTAAGGGGAGTAGATAATTTAACTGTTTTCTCTCTCCTTAATTATGAAAAAGGTATGGTTTTTATTCCTGGTGGTTAGAACACATACATAACAGTTGTATAAAATGATGGATTTCCTTGTGATGTCTTTATACATGCAAATAACATACTTTGATCATAATCTCTTTTCCCTATCTCCCTTTCTTACTGTCCCTTTTTCTTTTCCCTCTCCTGCCTGGTCTTTAATGTGGGATCTGGAAGTTCTTAGAGGTAACTTAAAAACATTAACGGAGCTTGTGTCAAGTGTCTTTGAACTTAGGTTGCCGTAGTACTTGAGCCATTTTAGTGAGTTGAGCCCTGAATCAATGTTGGTTTCAGGCAGGAGCCAAGAATGATGTCTTGGTCTGCTGACTCTTATTATCTCTGGTAATGGCTGATTCATATGGAAAAGTATAGTCTAGAATATAATGTCTTTTTTTTTTTTTTAAACAGAATACTTGAACTATGTTAAGTTTAAGACTGAGAGGCTTAGCTGGGCCAAGTGGCACAGGCCCATAATCCAGCTACTGGCAGGTGAAGCAGGAACGTCATAAGTTCAAGTCTTGCCTGGGCTGCAGGGTGAGTTCAAGGATAGCCTGGTCAACTTAGTAAGACCCATCTCAACTTAGAAATGGAGAGGGCTGGGAATGTAGCTCAGGATAGATTGTTTGTTCGCTGTGAGAGAGGTCCTTACTTCAGTTCTACCAGAAGCTTATGCTAGGGGTAGGGAATTAACAAAAATGTTATGTCTTTGCCATTCAGAGAAACTTGAGTTTCTGTGATTTTTTTTTTCTCCCTATCTTTCTTTCCTCTCTTTTAGCTGCTTACTTTGTGAATGTTGGTCAGTCTTGCACTCCTAATGTTTTCCAGTGGGCTTTGATGTTATTTTATCTAGAAGCTGGTTGCCCTTACCTATATACGTCAGTGAGGAGCTTAGATGTTGATTGACTATAATTAGCCTCAGAGGGACTATGTTTTTTAAATTACATTTATTTTCATGGGTGTAGTTTGAGTGTGCTCAATTGTGTGAATGTCTGTGGGAACACATGTACATGTCCACATGCTATGGCATGCATATTTGAGACAGTTCTTTCCCTCATTGTGTGGGTCTGGGGGCCTAAATACAAGTCATCAAAGCTTGTTGGCAAGTGACTACTCACTGAGCCATCTTGTTAACCCTGTAAATTTTTTTTCCTTAAAAGCATTCCTTAACACTTACTTGTTTTGTGAGAGTTTGTGTACATCAGAACGGTTGTGGGAGTCTGTTTTCTCTTCCACGTGGATTCTGGGTTTCAAACTCAGTTCACCATCACTCTTAGCAAGTGCCTCTGCTTGTTGAGCCATCCTGCTTGCCCTGGTGGAGGTTTTTTTTTCCTTTTGGTGTTTATTATAATAGGACATGTGTAATAAAAATTTAACACATGCTTTACAGTTTACAGTTCAGTGGTATTGACATTCATTGTGTTGTGCAATTATTACTAGTGTCTTTTAAAATTTCTTCCATTGGGTCCAACAGATTCTATACCTGGGTAGTCACTGTTTTACTTTCTATGATTTCTCCTAGGAATTTGCTTGTTGATTTATGTTTTGTTATCAGCTAAGAAAGTTTTCAATATCGTTGGCTCTTGTTTAATTGGTTTATTAGCATTCTAAGCAAGGGGAAAGAAGGAACCTGAGAATTACTTTGAACTTTGCTGAAAATTATGTCAATTTTAGCTTATTGATTTCGTAAATATTGCTGACAGGCTTTTCTCTTTCCTTCCCAGGACTTGGACGTTGTGGGTGATGGCATGCCGTGCCCTCCGTCGCCCTTGCTCTTTGATCCTTCACTAGCTCTTGAAGATCACTCTGACAAGGAGATTGCTGGAGGCCCAGTGGGTATCTTCACAATTGAGTCTCAGCTGGGTTCCCTCTAGTGACCAGGCCAGGTGGAGGTTTTCTCGGTTGGTTGGCATGAGTTCCAGGGAGTAGGGTGTATTCCCAAATAAGAGTAAAAGTGCTGCAGATGGTGGTTTTTCAGTGGGTTCTATAAAATGAAAGTATCTCTTTCAAGCTAGAAATAACAGTTCACTGATAGATCTTGTTGTTGGGCTTCTGTTGTGATAAAACAACATGACCAAAAGCAACTTGGATGGAAAAGGATTTATTTCACCTTATGCTTCAGGTAACACTGAGGGAAGTCAAAGGAGCCTGGAGGCAGGAACTGATGCAGAGGCCATGAAGGAATACTGTTTGCTGTCCTGGTCAGCCCGTTGTCTTACACCATCTAGGACTGCCCAGGAGTGGCACTGTTCACAATGAGTTCAGCCCTCCCACATTATCCAAGAAAATGCATTACAGGTTTAAGTTCCCTTCTAAAATGATTCTAGCCTAAGGTAAATGAGCTAGCATAGACCTTATATTTACAATTAAGGTAGGAAGTACTGGGTTTAATCCAAAACACTGCCAAAACAAAACATAAAACAACTTTTTCTCTCTTTTTTAATGCCTGTCTTGCACTAATTTTCCAGATGAGCTGTAGAACTAATAATAGTTCCTACTCATCAAAAGTAGGGCATACATTTATCTGAGTGAAAGATGGTAGGTAAATTGTCCTGTCTAAGGCAGAGTTCATTATTCTAATGTTCTTTTTATTTTATAAAGCCCGAGATAGGTCACGAATGGCTCTTACTGAAGACTAGCAGTTCTACTGTAGCTGTTGGTTTCAAGCAGAGGCCTAAAGAACTATCTTCCTGTGGGTTATCAGCTATTCTGGAACCTCAGTAGAGAATGACTGTTTCATTTGGAAGAAACAACCCCATTCTCTCCTTTGACAGCTTCAGTAGCTGATTCTCAGGGGAAAAGCAACCACCTAGTTACTTTATTTCTCTTGTTCTTGTAGCTACTATAAATGGGGATTGTTAAGCCAGGGTCATGCTTCAGAACCATTGCATGAGTCTAACCAAAGTGCCTTTATTTTAATAGGGCCAGATGCAGGTGACTGGGGATGGGTGCAGATCCCAGGTACCTCGAAATTTAGAGAAAGCCTGTGCATCATTCCCTCAGCATGGATTGACTACTGCAAATGGAAAACCAGAACCCACTTCTATCAGTTGACAGTTCATTCTGGAAATTGTTTGACTGTGGTGGATTTGAGCTTTCCATTCTCCAAACAAGTCATCTCTGATCATCTCTCACTAAGCAGGGACAACCCAGACTACATTGCTTTTCTTTGGCTATTAGCAAACATAAACCAAATTTGTGAGGAACGAGTCTTTAGTATTTAAGTTACAGGGTTCTTTGTGAGGAACGAGTCTTTAGTATTTAAGTTACAGGGTTCTTTGTGAGGAAGAGAGTGGTAATTCCTGCCTTTGGGACTATGCCTGGGAAAGAGACATTTTTGTGATGTGATTTCCTAAGCCCTGGATGAATCTACTAGGCAGGGGCTGCAGTCAGGAATGGCACTCCTTCGGGTGCTGACTGTTCAGTGTCTGGCTGTCTGTATCTAAAGGCCTGTGTTTAAACCTTTCCTCAGCCCACATAACTGGGCAATAGAAACACCTTTTCTTAGTGACTGACTGAAAAGCAGCTCACAGGTCTGGGCTCTCCTTAACTATCCTTCTTGTTGTTAACTTATGTAAATGTCTGGTCGAATCCCCCTTGTAAAATACAGTAAAATTATTGTATATAGTTTATATTAAATGTTAAAATGTTATGGAAATGTAAAGTAGTGTGAATTGAATTTTGTTTTTGTATTTGAGAGTGTCTATATTATTTTCTGGGACTTCAGTGCCATTTGATGGGAAGAGGGAAAAGGGAGGAGTGCATGATACTCCTGTCCTAGGGCAGGCATCACTGGGGAAATGGTATGAGAGAAGTGGCACTTGTTACCAGCTCACTGGGCCAGATAGAATTGGGTTCACTGCAGAGTGAGTTAGTTCAGTAGTGGGCTCAAGACTGTCCAGTGGTTAGGGCCTTGGTCAAACCCCATAGAGGGGATGAGAGGATAGGGGTCAGATGTGATGAGGTTTGTGTCAGGCTGGTTCTAGGGAAACTAAAGGAAGCTTCCAAAGCCCGAATAACAGTTTACAGAAAACAAGTAATAAAACTGTGAGCTTGTCCTAGGGGTGGATGTTGTTATTGTGTGAACTGTACATTTCTCCCTACGAGAAAGAATACTGAGGTGAAGATTATTAGCTTAGCCCAAGTCACTGTCAGGTGTTTCAGTTACTCACCTGTTGCATCTAACTAAGACTTACGGTTCCAGAAGGGGTAAGAGGCCATGGCAGGCAGGTGTGGTGGCAGGGTTAGGAGGCCGAGAATTCATGTCCTTGACTACAAGCATGAAAAGCAAACAAGTGGCACAAGGCTTTTAATCTCAAAGGCCAGCTTCCTGCAACAGCAAGTCTGTATCACTTGAAACTCCCCAAACTGCCCCCAACTGGACATTGAGGGTCCAAATGCTAGAGGCTGTGGTGGACATTTTTCATTTGAATAAGCACATCAGGTTTAGCCAATGGAAAATCCAGACCCACAGTACTGGACCAGAGATTGTCAGAAGGGGAGCTGGTCCAAACATCCATAATGGAAGGCCAGAGTGCATCTGATGGACCTGATCCAGGCCAAACAGTAACCCCCTCCCCCCATCATCAGGGCTGGGAGACAGGCACTGCTGCAGGATGAGAAAGGTTGTATGATTCGTGGGGAGTGTAGGTTATGGGAGGCTAGGTGGCATAGTAGCTCATGCTGCTGTACCCAACATTGCCTTTTTGACTGAGATGGATACAAGTGCTAAGGTTTTACTCTGCTGTACTGAACTTTGCTAACATTCCTTTGCTTATTAGTGTCCTAGCTGCCCAAGGAATCAGGAAGTAAATGAAACTTACAGATCTTAGCAAGTTCTTGAAGCCTACAAGGTTCATAAGTCTTCCCAAAGATATATAAGCAGTAACTAATTTCTGCAGAGAGGAGACTCCAAAATAAGCAAACTCTGTAAACCAGCTCTCAGCAAGCTGTGTCAGGAGCTCCAGGGGTGCGACTTCTGTCAGTTTTCACAATGTTGGGGTGAACTTTTTCGGTGATGTACCTATCTCTAAATCATCTGTGCTCCTGTAAGTAAACCAATAAACTCAGCAGTTCACTTAACTACTTGGGTGGAATTTCTTTGGTGTGTCATTGGTGTCCCAATGTGACTGCAATGTCTAGAACTGACCAGAAGAGGGAACTAGGGAGACTGTTCGTTTCTTCAATGCTGAGTTTTTCCAGCCAATCTGTAAGGTTGGGGAAAGGGGGAGGAATATGAGACAGGTAAGATAAGGGGGGAAGAGGGAAAGAAAGCAGAGTGGGAAGCTAAAGGAACAGAAGCTAAGGTAAATGATGACTGGAAGAGTGGGTGTCACTCCTAACTAAGCCCAGTAGAGACCTGAAAACATACTCTGGGAAGCTAAGTCATTAAAAACAAAAAACAAGCACTATTATCACATATCTTCCTTCTTGGGGGTTGGGGGATTGAGACAGGGTTTCTCTGTATAGCCCTGGCTGTGGAACTCACTCTGTAGACCAGGCTGGCCTTGAACACAGAAATTTGCCTGCCCTTGCCACTGCCTGACACACACCTTTTCAAAAACCTGTTTCATTGTAATACAAATTATATTTAGAAGCATGCAAAGAGTCTACAGAGTAGCTGCAAGGCTTTCAATTGTAGAGTGCTACTGAATTAATCAGTTACTTCAGTAAGCGTCCTCAGACAACAGAAGGTGAGAAAAGTGCTGTCCCCATACGTTTATCATTCCTGTTGTGCACATACAAGAATTAGCTTTAATAATGGTGTGACTTATAACTTCTGTACTAGCAAGACTAGTACCTCTGCAATGTCACCAGAGTAACTCTGCCTAAGCTCCATGATTCTTGCCATGCAAGGAACAATCCACCCACAAAGATCCCTCCCTCCCTTTCTCCTTTCCTTTTTTCAACAGGGTCTCACCATGTAGCCCTGTTTGGCCTGGAACTCCCTATGTAGACCAGGCCGGCTTCAAATTCAGAGATCCTCTTGCCTCTGACTCTAGTACTGGCATTGAAGGTGTGTATCATCACATCTGGCTTCATTTCTTTTTTTTTAAATAAACGTGTTGGACTAGAGAGATGGCCCAGCAGTTAAGAGCAGGTTGCTTTCAAACCTTTCCTATGGGGGGAAAAACACACAGGTAATTCCAGTTCTAGGGCATCCAATACCCTTTTCTAGTCTCTGAAGGCACTAGGGTACACAAATATATATGCAGTCAAATTACAACACAAAATAAAAATAAACCTTTTTAAAAAGCTTGAGCTTTTTATCTCAGCACAGGGGAGGCAGGGGCAGGTGGATCTCTAGGTTTGAGGCCAGCCTGGTCTATAGAGTGAGTTCCAGGACAGCCAAGGCTATACAGAGAAACCTGTCTTGATAAAACAAACAAAAAGCTTGTAAGCTGGATGTGGTGTACACACTTTTAATTCTAGCACTCAGAATGTAGGGATTGGTGGATCTCTGGGAGTTCAAAGTAAGCCTGGTCTTCATAGTTAGAAGGCAGCCAGAGCTACACATAAACCATGTCTCCAAACAAAAAAAGTTTGCACAAGTGGATTAAAGGTTTTGTCTTTTTCAAAGAAGAGTGCTATGTCTTATGTCTGTAGGCCAGAAGAGGGCATCAGATAACATAGATGGTTGTATATCACCATGTGGTTGCTGGGAATGGAACTCAGGACCTCTAGAAGAGCAGTTAGTGCTCTTAACCTCTGAGCCATCTCTCCAGCCTAAAGGTTAAGTGTTTTATAGATAGAAAGTATATCAGAATCTCTCTCTCTCTCTCTCTCTCTTTTTTTTTTTTTGAGACTTTTTCTGTGTAACAGCCCTGGCTGTCCTGGAACTTGCTCTGTAGACCAGGCTGGCCTCACACCCACAGAGATCCACCTGCCTCTGCCTCCTGAGTGCTGGATGATGATGATGATGATGATGATTATTATTATTTTGGTTTTTTGAGACAGGGTTTCTCTGTATTGTTTTGGAGGCTGCTCTGTAGACCAGGCTGGCCTCGAACTCACAGAGATCCGCCTGCCTCTGTCTCCCGAGTGCTGGATTAAAGGTGTGTGCCACCACTGCCTGGCCAGAATCATCTTTCTTCATCATTGTCTTCCTTTTCTCCTCCTTAGTTATGTTTTCCTTTCCCAGGCTTGATAGTGCCCTTGTTAAGCTGCCCTCGGCCTTCCGTTGGCTCTTTGTATAGCAATCTGTTTTCTTTGCTTTCCCTGAGTGTGTCAGCCTTCTGCTGACACAGCTGTTGTCCTCTGCAGCCGTGTTCCTCCACACCCACCCCCAGTTCCTTGGAAATAGAGCTGGAGAGTAGGTTGGATGATCTCCCTTGATTCTGGATCAGTCAAAATAAGGCGAAGGAAAGGCCAAAGGAGCCTGTATCAGTTACTTGTAATTAGCTGTGGAAACAGCTGGCTAAGGAGGGAAGGATTTATGTTGACTCCTGGGAAGTCTTAAGAGTCATCATCACAGCAGAGGTTTGGAGAGTCAGAACAGCTCACATCATGGCGGCCAGGAGCCAGAAGAAAGAGAATTTAAGAAGTGTCCAGGACAAGATATAGTACCAAGAACCCCCACCCCCACCCCTTCCCCGACCTAGCTTCTTCAAGTAGGTCCCATCTCCTTCCTTTGACCACCTTCCAGTTATGTCATGGCTCCGTCATTTGGTCAGAACCTTCCTGACCTAGTCATCTCTGGAAATGTCCTCAAGTGACACTCCCAAAGATACATGTACTGATCTCTCAAGCAGATCAACTTGATAATCACAGGACTGGAGAGAGGCTCAGTGGTTAATAGCACTTAGCTGCCTTTCCAGAGGACCCAGGTTCACTTCCCAGCACCCTCATGACAACTTGCAACTGTAAGTTTAGTTCTTGGGGGGTCTAGTGCCCTCTTCTGACCTCTGAGAGCACCAGGCATGTACCTGGTCCATAGACATGTATGCAGGTGAAACACCTATATTCATACAATTTAAAAAATAATTAAAACAACAAAATTGCCGGGCGTTGGGGGTGCACGCCCATCCCAGCACTCGGGAGGCAGAGGCAGGCAGATCTCTGTGAGTTCGAGGCCATCCTGGCCTACAAAGCGAGTTCCAGGAGAGCCTCCAAAACAATACAGAGAAACCCTGTCTCGAAAAACCAAAAAACAAACAAACAAACAACAAAATTAACCATTATAAGCTCCTTTAGGGGGCTGGAGAGATGGCTCAGAGGTTAAGAGCATTCCCAGCAACCATATGGTGGCTCACAACCATTTATAATGAGATCTGGTGCCCTCTTCTGGCCTGCAGGCAAACATGTAGGTAGAACACTATAAGATCTTTTTTTTTTAAAGCTCCTTTGGGTGTGTTGAGGCGTCTGTATAGCTCAGTGGTTCTCAGCTTGTGTGTCTTGACCCCTTTGGGTGTCGAATGACCCTTTCATGGGGGTTGCCTAAGACCATCTGTATATCTATTACAATTCACAATAGTAGCGAAGTTACAGGTATGAAGTAGCAGCAAAAATAACTATGGTTGGGGTCAGCACAACATGTATAAAAGGGTCGCAGCATCAGGAAGGTTGAGAACCTCCCCTGTAGCTTTTTTTTTTTTGAGATGTGAATTTGCTATGTAACCCTGATGGTGCTTGTCACACGGCCTGGGCGGTCACTACACTCACATCTTTCCTCTTGCCTTGGTCTCCTGAGTTCTGACTTGAACTGGTTTTCATTCCTCATTCATAATGGACCTTTTCTTCTTGGCTATGTCTTCACATTTCCAGCTACCTCTCTTTACACTTAGACAATTTGAGGAAATCTAACAGAGTCCCTGCGGGGCACCAGGCCCCATGCTTCCTGCCAAGTCTGGGGAAACAATGTGGAGGGTGACTTTTTGCTATGGATGGCAGTGGTCATACCATCCGTCTCTAGCCTCATCTCTCTTGGCCTGTTCACATTTCACAAATATGGCAAAGTCCCTTGTGCTTCATGATTTTTGCACAAGCCTCCCCTCTGCCTGGAGTGCTTCATCCAACAACCCTCTCTCTCTCTCTCTCTCTCTCTCTCTCTCTCTCTCTCTCTCTCTCTCTCTCTCTCTCTCTCTCTCTCTCCCTCTCCCTCTAATTTATTTTGTATACAGTCTTATGCTTGCATGCCAGTGTAGTGGAGGGCCCCAGATCTCACTCAAGGTGGTTGTGAGCCACCACCATGTGGTTGCCGGGACTTGAACTCAGGATCTCTGGAAGAAGAGTCAGTGCTCTTAACTGCTGAGCCATATCTCCAGCTCCCACCAACAAACATCTCTTAATGTTCAGCAGCTTTCATCTTAAAATTTCATTTCCTCAGGGAGGCTTCTCTGATTCTATGCATGTGTCCTGTGACTTTAAAATTTTTTTTTAATTTAGCATTTTTATTAGATATTTGAAGTTGTAATTCATTAAAATTAAGAGTAATTCTTTAAATTTTTTTCATTCCAATCCCAGTTCTCTCTCCCTCCTCTCTTCCCACTCTTCCCTCCTCCCCCCAATCCCACATCCCACCTGCTCCTCAGAGAGGGTAAAAGCCTCCCCTAGGATGTCATCTGAGTCTGTCCCATCAGTTTGTTGAGGCAGGACCAAGGTGCCCCTCCCCATGTCTAGCTGAATTCCTCTAGGCAGAGCATAGATTTTTGTCTTTGTTTTGACAGAGTCTCACTATGTAACCCGACTGCCATCTTCCCACCTCTGCTGGGAGTAGTCTCCTGTAAATGACAAATAAAAGACTCAGAGACAGATATTGGGATTCAATCTTCAAGCTAAAGATCAGAGAAGCAAAGCAGCCAAGCCAGTAGATCTTATCTCTATGCAGCTGAAATAGCAACCCTGTTTCCACAAATCCTTAGACGCAAAAACTCTCAGTTCCTGTCTCCTCCTCCCTAGTGCTGGGATTAAAGGTATGTGATCGCAGGTGCTGAAATCACCTTAGTGTGAGCTGTTTCTTTAAGGCTGGATCAATTTTGCGTGGTCTGAGTGGCGTTGAACTAACAGAGACCCGTCTACCTCTTAATCCTGAATCTTGGGATTAAAGATGTGTGCCACCACTGCCTGGCTTCTGTAGCTAACTGGTGTGGATGGCTTAGCATCCTGAACTCTCAAGAATGCTTTATTAAATCATAAATAATATATCACCACAGTTTTCTTTATTTGTACATGCATCTGTGTGTGCAACTGTGCATTCATGTGTGTGCAACTGTGCATGTATCTATGTGTACAGCTGTATATGCATGTGTGCAGCTGGTCATGTATGTGTGTGCAGCTGTGCATGCATATATGTGTGTAGGTGTACATGCATGTGTGTGCAGATCTGTACATGTATGTGTACGCACATACATGCAGAGGCCAGAAGCCAATTTAGAGTGTCCTTTCTTAGGAACCATCCACCTTTATTTAGGACAGGGTTTTTACTGACTTGGAAGTTATCAAATGGGCAAGACTAGCTGGCCACTGAGTCCCAGGGACCCTACTATCTTCACCTCACCCGTGCTGGAATTAGAAAAGGACACTGCCATGCTTGATTTTTTTTTTGTAAGACAGGATTTCTCTGAAGCTTTGGAGCCTGGAACTGCCTCTATAGATCAGGCTGGCCTCAAACTCTCAGAGATTTGCCTGTCTCCCCAGTGCTGGGATTAAAGGTGTGTGACACCACCACCATCACCGACACCCAGCGCTGATTTTTCTCTTTATTGTGGGTTCTGGGGTTGGACTCAGACCTCATGCTGGCAGGGAAAGCACTTTGTAGACTGAGCTGTCTCTCTAATCCTATCACTTTTATTAGCAGCTTTATTATAGCAAACTCAATACACAGTAAGCTGCACATATTTAAAACACATAGTTTGACAGGTAGATTTATTATTATTTTAAATTTTTATTATTTTTGTATGTGTTTGTGTCTGTGTGTATGTGTGCTCAAGGGTACATAATGGTGAATAGGGATGCTCCCTAAAAGGTTGCAAGGAGACAGTTTTTGTCTTACTGTGCATGCACCCAAAACTAGTCCTTGCTGGATCAACCATTTGATTCTTCATAAGTAGATATATTGGGAATATTCTTGAATATAATTTGTTAAAAACATTTTATTTTTGGATACAGAGTCATTCTGTGTAGCCTTGGCAGTCCTGGAGCTCGCTATGTAGACCAAGCTAGCCTCAAATTCAGAGATCTGTCTGCCTCTGCCTCCCAGGTTCTGGGATTAAAGTTTTGTGCCACCACCGCCCAGCCCACAGCCTTTTCTTAAATCCCTGTGTCACCTCTCTCTCCCATACCTCCTATTTCTCCTTCCAAAGCAATCACCAATCTGGTTTCTGGTGCTCAATATTATTTTGCACTTTCTGGAGTTTTATGTAAGTGGAATTATGTAATTGTACTCTTTTTTGGTCATTTTTCCTTATAAATATTTTGAGTCAGATATACTGTATGTGCCACTAGCTTGAGATCAGGTACATTGAATATGACAATGGTCTGCTACTTTTTATTGCTAAGTAATGTCTTATTGTGTATCCCTCCAGAAAAATGAGATCCTAATGTGTGAAAGCTGATGGCATCATGCCACAAGACTGAAGGAAGAGGTAATAAATTTAGTGAAATTTACTGGGAACTTATGGACAGAAGTGTGTCATAGGTGGGAGTGAGATAGCTCCCAGCATAGCTAAAGATAAGTCATTCTCAACCAGAATATACTTGGGTTTTCAAAAAAAAACCCCTGTTAACATGTTTGTATTGGTTAAGAAACAGCCTGGGCATCAATGGCCACCATATCGTATTTAGCTGGCTATCCTTGAGATGTATATAGGGATTACCAGCACGCAAAATGGTAATTATGAGCAAGATGGCCATGGTCATGTTAAACTGAACCCTTACAAATGGATGAATCACAAGTTGTTTATGTAGCCTGTGACTAAAGACATCTAGCTTGTATCTAGGTTTACAAATAAAGCTGCCATGAAAATGTTGTAGGTGAGCTTGTATGTTACCAATGTTTCCCCTTTTTCTTGAGTATGTATTTAGAAGTAGAATGACTGGAGGAGACAAAAGAGGAGATTAATGATGTTGGGCATCTTTTGTCAGACATCTGTTTCTCATCCAGGCACCTTCTTTAGTGATGTCTCCATTTACAGCTCCCCTGCTCTTAGCCACAGCCAGGGACCAGATCTATAACTTTGACCTCCATTCTTTTTCCTCTCCTTGAGCTGGAGGGCCCTACATTGCTCAAATAAAGATTTCTAAGAATAGAAACCACAAACTCAATTGTCTTTTTCAGAAAAGAGGAAGTTCGCTGGCTTTAAATAGAGACACTAAAAAGTTGGAGTATTAATTGTGAATAAAATAGTTATTTTTTATTTTTAGAGAACTCTGCAGGTTGTGGTGCAGAGATCTGCTGCTCCAGGAGGATCTGGGTTGAGATCAGGTCTGTGCCTCACGCTTAATACCAGAATGTGGGGCTGTGTTTTTTTCTGTGTCATGTACTTTTCAATAATCACAGGGGCACAAAAATCCAGACAGCAGTATGTAAAACATTTCCAGTTCCTTCTGGTATCACACTACTGATATTCTTCTGGCCAAAACAAGTCACATGGCTAAAGCTCAGCCTTCACCTAATGCAGAAAATATACTCTGTCCACTGCAGGGATGGGACGATCACATGACAGAGGGAGTAGGTAGAGAATTAAGAAGAGCTGGGCGGTGGCGGTGCACACCTCTCATCCTAGCACTTGGAAGGCAGAGGCAGGTGGATCTCTGAGTTCAAGACCAGTTTGGTCTACAGAGTGAGTTCCAGGACAGCCAGGGCTACACAGAGAACCCCTGTCTTGAAAAACTGCCTCCCCAAAGGGATCCAGTTCTCTTATCTGCCGAGCCATCTCTCCAGTCTCATGTTTTGTAAAAGGTGGTGGCAAGATCAAAAAGAGAGCTGGAGAGAGGAGAGGGGGAACCCTTGGACAGACTTAGTGTGTGTCTTAGGGTTTCTATTGCTGTGAAGAGACACCATGGCCATGACAACTCTTATAAAGGAAAGCATTTAATTGCGGCTGGCTTACAGTTCAGAGGTTTAGTCCATTATCATCATGGTGGGAAGCATGGTGTCATGCAGGCAGACATGATGCTGGAGAGGTAGCTGAGAGTTCTGCATCTAGATTGGCAGGCAGCAGGAAGAGAGTGAGCCACTGGGGTTGGCTTGAGCTTCTGAAATCTCAAAGCCTAATCCCTTCCCACACTTCCTCCAACAAGGCCACACCTACTCCAACAAGGCCACTTGTCCTAATACTTTAAAATGGGGGCCATTTTACTCAAAATACCACAGCTTCTGTATTGCCTGGTTTTGTGTGCCAATTTGACACAAGCTAGAGTCATCAGAGAGGAAGGAGTTCCAGTTGAGAAAATGTCTCTCAATGAGATCCATCTGTAAGGCATTTTCTCAGTTAGTGACCAATTGGAGAGGGTCCAGTTCATGGTGAGTGGGGCCATCCCTGAGCTGGTAGTCCTAGATTCTATAAGAAAGCAGGTTGAGCAAGATGGTGGAAGCAAGTCAGTAAGCAGCACCCTTCATGGTCTCTGCATCAGCTCCTGCGTCCAGGATCCTGCCCTGTTTGAGATCCTGTCCTGACTTCCTTCAGTGATGAAGAGCAATGCTGAAGTGTAAGCTGAATAAACCCTTCCCTCCCCAACTTGCTTTTTGGTCATGGTGCTTGATCACAGCAATAAGAACCCTAACTAAGACAGAAACTAGTCCCAGTGTAGTGGGACATTGCTGGGACAGACCTGATCATGTACTTGGAAGGATTGCGGAAAGACTTTGTAACTTAAGGCTAGAAAAGCCATCGAATGTTAAGAGCTCTGTGGATGTTCTGTGGGAGGTTGGAAGACAAGAATGCCGAGAGCAGTGCAGAAGATGGAGGTCTGGCTTGTGATGTTTCAGAGGGAAGGTTAAAGGCTCTATCGTGGCCGTTTGTTACTTTGAATTAAGATTCTGTGGTTCTGGTTAGCTGGGGCTGAAGAATCAGCTGTGATTAACAAGACACCATAACTACTAAAGTGAAACTTTCCTGGGATACTTGATGCTGCTCAGCGGGAGCTAAAAAATTAGTGGTGATTAAGAAGAAACCAGCATCACTGAGGTAAAATCTTCTGGGAAACGTTTCCTGAGAATCAGCACATAAAAGCTGTGTCCCAGAGGTGGCCAAGGTTGTACCTCATGCTGGCTGGAAGCAGGGCTTGGTAATGTGTAAGAGTCACCCAGGTGGTACTAGTTTTGAAGGCATGAGAGAGTGATGGAGAGGAGCTGAGGCTTGGCACTGTGAGAGACCAGGCCAGGTCATCAGTGGAGGTGCAGCTTCAGGATTAGTTGAAGCCCAGGACTGAAGGGGTCATGCAGAAAAGTTGAGGCTTAGCACCATGAGGAGAGCTTATGAGAGGGTATGGGTGAGAGTGCAGCCCAGTTGTAGCAGAAGACCCTAGTGTCTTGGAGATGCCAGCACCCTGCGTGACCACCAAGAACAGCAGCAGTGGAGCTGTGTGTGTGTGTGTGTGTGTGTGTGTGTGTGTGTGCGCGCGCTGCAGAGGGTGGAGCTGGAGATGTGACTCAAGCTCCTTGTAGGATAGGAGTTCAGAAGATGGTGAGTCAATCCCAGATAACTAGACATTAAGTTACTTATATTGGTAGAGTTTGGTTTTGCTTTGTTAGGATTGTGACAATGCCCTGATTCTTCCTTCTTCTAGAAGGTATTTAATTCAATTTTGATTTTGTTTTGCATCCTGGCTGTCCTGGAACTTGCTCTGTAGACTAGGTTGGCTTCGAACTCACAGAGATCCACCTGTCTCTGCCTTTCTAGTGCTGGGATCAAAGGCGTGTGCCATCACTGCCTGGCTCAATTTTGATTTTTAAGGGAGCCCACAAGATGAAAGACTTGAAACTTTTAAAAAAGGAAATTGGATATTTTAGAGAGACTGAAATTTTAATGTGTTTTTTTTAAATGTGAATTTTTAAAGACTGCGTGACTTTTAAAATGATTCATGATTTTAACGTGAGATCTTGGAAGTGAATAGGAAAGAAAGGGTTGTGTCTTAACAGTGATGTGTTTGTGTGTCACCTTGACACAGCTAGAGTCATCAGAGAGGAAGGGGCCTCAGCTGAGGAAATGCCTCCATGAGATCCAGCTGTAAGGTGTTTTCTCAATTATTGATTAATGGGGGAGGGTGTAGCCCATGGTGTGGGTGCCATCCCTGTTATGGTGGTCCTGGGTGCTATAAGAAAGCAGGCTGAGCAAGCCATGAGGAGCAAGTCAGTGAGCAGCTCCCTTCCATGGCCTCTGCAACAGCTCCTGCCTCCAGGTTCCTGCCCTGTTTGAGTTCCTGTCCTGACATCCTTTGGTGAGGAACAGTAAACCTGAGGTGTAAGCCTACTGTCCACATAATGTTGGGCAGCGAGGTCTTTGCACCTGGTCCCACAAGTCATAGGAGGAAGCCTCTCCAGTGGTGGCTTGAGCAGGTCACTGATCCAGGTCCATGAGCATATCAGAATGTGGACAGGAATGACAGTTCTTAAGACTGTCCTAGAGACAGGTGAACTTAACTTTCATTTTGGAGGCAGAGATAGGGAAATTTCAGAGCTTCTAAGAACCTAAGGAATTGGCCCATCCTATGGGAGCCATGTTTGAAGACATTAATGGCACCCTAGGGACAGAAAGAAAACATAGATTAGGGCTGGGGTCTTTAGGATGCTCAGCTAATCATAGTACTGTTGAGGCATATGGGGGAGGGGGTGGGTGTTTTGTTTTGTCTGGGATGCACACATCACATTATTTCCCCCCATTTTTACACCAGGAGAGCAGTCTCAAACTCTCCCAAACACTGCTCACATTGGTGAGCCAAGTCTTGGATGGACCCATCCCTGCGAGCTGCTGCTGGTCTCTACCCTTGGAGCCCCTCTTACCCAGCAGACAATGCTTTGGGATCTTTCACAGCCATCTTGGCACAGAGGAGGTCATCACTGATGTCATCATTCAAGAGCTCTAAAAGGAAAGGTATGAGAGGGGGAGAAGGGAGGGGGAGACATCTCTTTCCTTGTTTTCAATATTACATGTTATTGTTTTGGGAGACTCTTATTTTTTCCTTTATGAGACAGGGTTTCTATGTGTAGCCTAGGTTGTCCCAGCACTTGCTCTGTAGACCAGGCTGGCCTAGAGCTCACAGAATTTTACCTGCCTCTGTCTCCCGAACGCTGGGATTAAAGGTGTGCACTACCATTCCTGGCTTTCTTAAGGAAACTGAGGCCTACGTTTTAGAAGCCCTTAATATCTCTGAAATCCCTTTCTGGATTTGCCTCCTGTTTGCCCAGGTTTTCTGAGAACTGACACAGAACCTGATGAACTAGTGAGGGTCCATTTTCAGAACATGGCTTATCACCGAGAGTGTAGCTTGTGAGTGTTTGGAATAGTGATGCAGGTGTGGTTGTGCTGGGGGTAGAGTGGCTGTCTTGACAGATGGGAATACATGAATGAAGACAATGACAGAGTGTGAGATGGGGGCGTTGGGCAGGGTGAGCTGGGGCTTGGTCATGGGCTAGTGTGTGTCTCTTCTCCTTTTTGGGAAGGTTATCTGTAGGATCCTGCTGTAATGTGAGAATGAAGCCTCTGGGATCACGACAAAACTCAGAAACCTGGCTAAGTCCTTCTTTTTTGTAGTCGTTAAGGCTGTATCATCTCAGCTGTTTAAGATGCTGCATCACCTGGGCCACTGCTGGGGGGGGGAGATCTTGGTTCATCAAACCACAGAAGCCACGAAGGAATCCACTGCTTTTTATTTTCTGTGGAAACATAAATGGAATCTCTTTTCCAAAGTAACCTGTCCTTAAATTTAAATTTTGAAGTCAAGGCATTTTTCAAAAGGTATAAGTTGGATTAATTCAACAGCATTGATAATCAAGTGTACTTTAGCAGCTGTTCCTCTTTAGCAATCGAAAAACTGAAAAACACAATAGCATACAGCATCCAGACTCTCTGTGTATTTTCCATCTTTACGTGGCTTATTTATCTATTATTATTCTATTTCTTTTACTTTTGTTTATTTATTTATTTCTCTGAGACAGGGTTTCTCTGGAAATCTGCCTGCCTCTGCCTCCTTCAGCAAATCCTCCCGGTGTGCACCACCACAGCTGGCTTATCTGTCTGTCTGTCTATCTATCTATCTATCTATCTATCTATCTATCTATCTATCTATCTATGTATCATGTATCTGTCTATGTATCTATGTATCTATCTATTTTTACCACTATCCTGTTTCTTTTTCTCTCTCAAGCTTGTTTTTATGGCCACGTGTCTTATATAGGCTAAAGAACATTGCCAAAATTAAAGTGGAAACAGCCTCTGGGTTTCCAACATGGTGGGCGTAAATTTGACTCCTGCTCACTGTCTCAGTCTGTGCTGACATCCAGCAGCATGGTGCTGGCGTGGAGATGTGGTCACTGCCACTGCCAGATGCTCGTGCACACCATTCAATTGTTAGCAAAGCCTCTTAAAAGAACCTTGCTGGGTTTTTTGTTTTGTTTTGTTTTGTTTTGTTTTGTTTTTGCTTATGCTGAGTCAGGAAGACTCCCTTAAGTGAGCTGCATGAGTCTCTGTCTCTAGCAAAACAGAGCCCACCTGAGAGAAATGCTGCTACCAAGAAGCCATGCTTCTCTGTTCATTTGTTTCTAAAATCCCTTTTAAGCTTTTGTCATTCTACTCAGAAATTCATGATTCCACTTCTGACAACCATTATGTAGAATGTAGTTTTTCCCCGCCAGTCGCCAGGGCCCTGCCACACTGTCTGAACCCTCAAATAACTCACAGGACACTATATTAATTACAAAGCTGTTGGCTGTTTGCTTGGTTTCTTACTGACTAGCTCTGACTTAAGTATTTAACCCATAATTGTTAATCTAAGTATTTCTCTTACCAGAGAAAAGGGTCCAGACCTCTTACTCCTCTGGCAGCTACATGGTGTCTGTCTCTGCCTCTCTTTCCCAGAATCCTCCTTGACAAATAGTCCCACCTATCTTGCTTCCCTATTAGCTAACAGTGCTTTATTCAGCCACCAATAAGAGAGACAGATTTACAGAATGACATCTCCCATTAAGTCTAGTAGAGGAATCATGGTGGGTAATTGAGTTTGGAGAGATGGAGGCACTTGTAATCACTGAAGCATAGGTTGAACCAGAGCTTGCTGGAACACAGGCTCGTGATATCTCCGTGTGTAAGAAGTCAGCAGCCTGGAGGTGCTGCTCAGTGGCTGAGTGCTTCCTAGCACACACCAGGCTCTAGTGAAGCTCTGCAGCACTGCAAGAATGAAAAGAGAGTAAGGAAATAAATAGACGAATAGATAGATGGCGAGTAAAAAAGTCGCTGGGGCAACTTCCAGCTATGCTTGACATCTGTCATATCTGCCATCACCCACCATCCAACATTTTGGATTTGCTGGGCACAGATGGCACATGGCTGTAATCCCAGCACTCAGCAGGCAGAGACAGGCAGATCTCTTGTGAGTCTGAGGATGGCCTGGGCTACATAGTTCTAGACAGTGCTGGCTGGTTTTATGTCAACTTGACACAGGCTAGAGTTATCTGAAGGGAGGGAACCTCCATTGAGAAAATGCCTCCTTAAGATCTAGCTGTAGGGCATTTTTTTTACCTGGAGATTGATGCTGAGGGCCCAGCCCACTGTGGGTGGTGCCATACTTGATGTCCTGGGTTCTATAAGAAAACAGGCTGAGCCAGCCAGTAAATGGTATCTCCCCATGGCCTCTTGTAGACTGAGTTTCCTGTCCCAACTTGTCCCACAGCTGATTAGCCCCAAATAAACACACAGAAACTTATATTAACTATAAACTGTTTGGCTGATGGCTCAGGCTAGCTTTCTTTTAATTATTAACCCATAGCGATTAATCTATGTTTTCCTACAGGCTCTTATCTTACCAGAGAATGCCTGGCACTTCCTATCTTCCCGGTTGCTACATGGCGTCTCCCTGTGGCTTCTCTCTGCCTCCTGTCCCCAGAATTTTCCTTGCCTGGTAGCCCCGTCTATACTTCCTGCCTGGTTACTATCCTCTCAGTGAGTAAGAGAAACATACAGAAGGACATTCCCCCATCATCTCCTCTTTTCTGTCTAAATAAAAAGAAAGGTTTTAACTTTAACATAGTAAAATTATATATAACAAAACAGTTATCTAGTAAGAACTATAGTTAACAATATTTAGCCCATTAACATTTGGCAAAATTTAAAGAAAATATTTTATCATATATCCTATCTTTGTGATTCTAAAGTTCTATGTGTAACTTAACTTTTGTTATAACTAAGGAAAACCATAACCATAGCTATCTGTCTTCAACTGCATCAAAGATTTCAGAAGGATAATATGTAAACTCTAGAATTGACGGAGACATCTGACTGCCTGGACAGTCACCTGAAGTTTTTCTGTAACATTGGGGCACCCATCCTCAGTCTGAAAGTATCTAGCAGACTTCTCCGCAAAGCAGGGAATCTGAACTGTCCTGACTGTATTGGCAGTTTGTCAGTCATTTTTCTCTGTGCCCTGTAGAATGTCTGGCAGACTTCCATGAAGCAAGAACCCTGCAGGACTGTCCAATCTTGTTTTGGCAAGTTCAGCAGTCATTTTAGGTCCTTGATGTCCAGTTTATAAAGCATACAGTCAAACTGTCCAGACAAGAGAAGTTTCTTGCCCAAATGGCTATTTCTGCCATGTTGAAGGCAAACTCCTTAACTCCAAATAGAAGGCTCCAACCTTCTTGATGATATAGAAGTTGTGGAAAAGGCCAATATTGGACCACCGAATGTAGATTGACAAGAGGCAAACAAGGCAACCCTTTACCATCAGGAAACTCCTTCCCCCATGTCAAAATTGGTTCAGTCATTTCCAATCACTGTGGAGGACAATCCCTTCCAGAACAATTAGGAAATCCAGTGTCTATTGCAAAAAATCGTACTGCTTTGGATGGTAGAATAGCTTTGGAGGATGAATCAAAAATTCAGGGAGGAGGCCGGGTGTTGGTGGCACACACCTTTAATCCCAGCACTCGGGAGGCAGAGGCAGGCGGATGTCTGTGAGTTCGAGGCCAGCCTGGTCTACAGATCGAGTTCCAGGACAGCCTCCAAAGCCACAGAGAAACCCTGTCTCGAAAAACCCCCCAAAAAAATTCAGGGAGGAAACAGAAAACATATTTTGGCAGACTCCTGTAAAAGACCAAAGACCAAAACTAAGAGTACAAATCAATCATGTTATACTCAAAGGATTATTGAGCACAGGTACAGATGTCACCATTATCACTCCAGAATCTTGGGATCCAAGTTGGCCTCTTCAGGAGGTAGATGTTCAATTCTTAGGGATTGGAACCCTATCTTATGTAAAACAAAACATGAGATGAATTGAATGTATAGGGCCAGAAGGACAAAGAGGAAGGCTGAGGCCACATCTGGCTAATATAGCAGTAAATCTATGGGGTCGTGATCTGTTGAAGCAATTTAATACCCAGATTAACATTCTTCCAGTATCATAAATAAATCATAAACCAACTCATGTTTATGGAAAAAATGTTAAGGTACTATATAAAACAGACACTGATCATCCAGGTTGTACAAAAACAGAATAAAACAAGTGTTTAACTCATAGAGGAACCAAAATCCCTACCCTTAAAATGGCTAACTGACAATCCTGTCTGGATGGGACAATGGCCTATGACTTCAGAGAAGTTAGAGGAGGAGCTAAATGCTGGATATTTAAGAATCTACCAACCCTTGAATTCTCCCATATTTGTTATTAAAAAGAAGTCAGGAAAATGGAGAATGCTTACAGACCTGAGAGCCATTCATAAAGTAATTCAGCCAATGGGCTCTCTACAGACTGGAATGCCGTTGCTTTCTTTATTACCTAAAGATTGGCCTATTATAGTTATTGACTTAAAAGACTGTTTCTTTACTATGAAAGACCCCTACCCAGGACCCCCTAGGAAAAGAAAAGCAAGGCCAGGCCGTTGCCTAATGAAAGAAACCCAGACCAGGTGTCTCACCCTCAAAACAGGATGTCTGTGATAGCAGTCATGGGACCCGGATAATAATTGCTGAAGCGTGCTGGGAACTTTCATATGACAATACCAGGACACTTAGTCCTTGGCAACTACCCTGGCCCCCAATTGTGTCTGATCACTATAGCAATCATGGGACCCGGATAATAATTACTGAAGCGTGCTGGGAACTTTCATATGACAATACCAGGACACCTAGTCCTTGGCAACTACCCTTGCCCCCAGTTGTGTCTATGATCACCATAGTAGTCATGGGACCAGGATAATAATTGCTGAAGTATGCCTGGATCTTTCATAAAGTAATACCAGGAAACTTAGTCCGTGGGAACTACCCCTGCCCCCAAAATGAGCCAATGAAATGCCTGTTACTTATGTAACCATTGAAACTCTATAAATATTGTGCTCCCTGAAAGCCCGGTATGCTCTGCACCCGAGTTGCAGTAGCATCTGCAGGCGCCTGTGTACTCAATAAATCACCTCTTGTATTTGCAGCCAGTGGTCTGGCCCCGGTTCTTGGGCAGAGGGTTCAGTTCAGTGCCTGGCGCTTTGATGCCGAGGTCTTTCAACTATAACTTTACAAGAAAAAGATAGAGAAAATTTGCGTTCATGGTACCTACTTACAATAATTTACAACCTGCTAAAAGATATTAGTGGAAGGTTCTTCCACAGGGAATGTTAAATAAACCCACCCTGTGCCAATATTTTGTGCACCAGTCATTGGGAATAATATGTAAGCAATTTCCTCAATCTATGTTACTATTACATGCATGGCATTTTATCTGATTCAAATGTAGATAATTTAGAAAGAATGTTTGAAGAAGTAAAAAAAATTGCCTTGTTGGGGATTACAAATTGCTCTTGAAAAAATACAAAGAAGCCGGGCGGTGGTTGCGCACGCCTTTAATCCCAGCACTCGGGAGGCAGAGGCAGGCGGATCTCTGTGAGTTTGAGGCCAGGCTGGACCGACAGCCTCCAAAACAACACAGAGAAACCCTGTCTGGTAAAAACCAAAAAAAAAATACAAAGAAGAGATCCTATTATTTAGGCTATAAAATAGGTTAATGCTCTGCCACATCCTCCTGCCTGTTGCCATGGCCACCTACAAGCTAGTGCTAATCCAGCACATCGAGAGTGCCTGGAACCTAGAGAACCACTTCTGAGCCCAGCAGGCCACGAGGAGGCGAAGCGTGGTGGACAGGTGTTGCAAGATGCTGGCTATGAATTTGACATCTGCTTCACCTCCATTCAGAAGAGAGCAATCCGGATCATTGGATAGTCTTTGATGCCATTGATCAGACATGGCTGCCAGTGGTCAGGACCTGGTGCCTCAATGAGCAACACTACGGGGGTCTGACTGGTCTCAATAAAGCAGAAACTTCTGGTAAACATGGTGAGGCGCAGGTAAAGATCTGGAGGTGATCTTATGATGTCCCACTGCCTCCAATGGAGCCTGAGCATCCCTTCTACAGCAACATCAGTAAGGATCGCAGGTACGCAGACCTTACTAAGGACCAGCTACCCTCCTGTGAGAGCCTCAAGGATACTATTGCCAGAGCACTGCCCCTTCTGGATCGAAGAAATTGTCCCTCAGATCAAGGAGGGGGAAAGAGTCCTGATTGCAGCCCATGGTAACAGCCTTCCTGGCATCGTCAAGCCTCTGGAGGGGCTCTCAGAAGAGGCCATCATGGAGCTGAATCAGCCAACCCGCATTCCCATTGTCTATGAATTGGACAAGAACTTGAAGCCTGTGAAATCCATGCAGTTCCTGGGAGATAAAGAGACTGCATGGAAAACCACGGATGCTGTGGCTGCTCAGGGCAAGGTCAAGAAGTAAAGGCAAGCAGGAAGAGGCCTACCCCAATACCCTCCTCCCTGCCTGCTTATGCTTCCCACACCCTTCCTCAACACCTGCCACACTGACTTTAGAATCTTAAGCTTAAGTTGTAGTTGCACCCACTTTCTTCCTAGAACCTAATCAGAAAAACACCCTTGGGGTACAAGTTCTTGGTTCACATCCAGGGATGATTCCTCTTACCAGGAGAGTGGAGAGATAGTGATTACTTCTTCATAGTCCTGTGTGTACTAAGGGTCTGCTTTAGGAAGAGGTCAGGGAGGAACCATGCAATGGTAAAAGCAGTGAGAAGCTGCTGCCAAGTTTTGTCCCTGGTACTTGTCCTGCACTCTTCTGCAGTTAGGTAACGGGGGGGGGTGTAGTTATTTCCGTGGAAGGTGAAGGTAACTTATGTGGTGATTTAAACATACTACCTTCCTCTCTGACCCTAAAGGAGCTGCTGGACCCGGAAGGTTGGGATCAATCCTGTTAAGTCTGTGTTGTTACATTTACTTTTATAAAAAAAAAGGTTCATGTGTATTTATCAGCAGAAAAAAGCCCCTCTGCTGTTTCTAGTGGTGATTGAAATAGTTCCATGTGGTCACCAGAAAATAAGCCATTCCTCATATCAGATAAACTCCGTGTCCTCAAGGGGCAGGGGCGCTTATGGCTGTGTGCTAGGTCACTTCTGCCTTGCTTTGTAGAGCGGCTGTGCCCCTTGTTCATGTCCAGGTTTTGTCTTTCACTGTCTGAATCATGTTCCACCTGCTTGGCCCTACCATGTGGGCTCAGAACTGGTTTTGGGCATAACTACTAAATCTCTTTCCAGACCAATATAATAAAGGAGTAATGTACAATAAAAAATAAATAAAATAGGTTTACAAAAAATTAGACTCCACAAGGTGCAAATTAGAGGTTGAGACTCTTCATGACTTTCAGAGACATTTCCCATCTATGGAACGTTATTGGGATAAAACCTGATCAACTGATTCGTTTAAGCAAAACCTTAGATGGAGACAAGGACTTAAATAGTCCCAGGTAATTAACAGCTGAAGCTGAGAAAGAACTGGCTTTGATTTGTATGCCAGGGATAAATACTGATCTACTGCCCAAGGCCCCATAGATTGTCCAGGCCTCCTCGCTGACACCACATTTAGGGGATCTGGATCAGTCCCATGCTGGTCTCCCAGCCATCAGTTGGGGATCCCAGAGCTTTCCCTT